GAACGGCGTAGGAATTACAACAGTTTGCATATGTGCCTCCCACTTGTTAAGGGACCAAAAGTAATGGGACAATTGGCTTCTCAGCTGTTCCATGGCCAGGTGTGGGTTATTCCCTCATTATCCCACTTAGAATGAGCAGATAAAAGGTCCAGAGTTTATTTCAAGTGTGCTATTTGCATTTGGATTCTGTTGCTCTCAACTCTCAAGATGAGATCCAAAGAGCTGTCACTATCAGTGAAGCAAGCCATCATTAGGCTGAAAAAACAAAACAAACCCATCAGAGAGATAGCAAAAACATTAGGCGTGGCCAAAACAACTGTTTGGAACATTCTTAAAAAGAAGGAACGCACCGGTGAGCTCAGCAACACCAAAAGACCGGAAGACCACGGAAAACAACTGTGGTGGATGACCAAAGAATTCTTTCCCTGGTGAAGAAAACACCCTTCACAACAGTTGGCCAAATCAAGAACACTCTCCAGGAGGTAGGAGTATGTGTGTCAAAGTCAACAATCAAGAGAAGACTTCACCAGAGTGAATACAGAGGGTTCACCACAAGATGGAAACCATTGGTGAGCCTCAAAAAACAGGAAGGCCAGATTAGAGTTTGCCAAACGACATCTAAAAAAGCCTTCACAGTTCTGGAACAACATCCTATGGACAGATGAGACCAAGATCAACTTGTACCAGAGTGATGGGAAGAGAAAAGTATGGAGAAGGAAAGGAACTGCTCATGATCCTAAGCATACCACCTCATCAGTGAAGCATGGTGGTGGTAGTGTCATGGCGTGGGCATGTATGGCTGCCAATGGAACTGGTTCTCCTGTATTTATTGATGATGTGACTGCTGACAAAAGCAGCAGGATGAATTCTGAAGTGTTTCGGGCATTATTATTTGCTCATATTCAGCCAAATGCTTCACAACTCATTGGTTGCCGCTTCACAGTGCAGATGGACAATGACCCAAAGCATACTGCAAAAGCAACCAAAGAGTTTTTTAAGGGAAAGAAGTGGTATGTTATGCAATGGCCAAGTCAATCACCTGACCTGAATCCGATTGAGCATGCATTTCACTTGCTGAAGACAAAACTGAGGGGAAAATGCCCCAAGAACGAGCAGGAACTGAATACAGTTGCAGTAGAGGCCTGGCAGAGCATCACCAGGGATGAAACCCAGCGTCTGGTGATGTCTACGCGTTTCCAGACTTCAGGCTGTAATTGACTGCAAAGGATGTGCAACCAAGTATTAAAAAGTGAAAGTTTGATTTATGATTATTATTCTGTCCCATTACTTTTGGTCCCTTAACAAATGGGAGGCACATATGCAAACTGTTGTTATTCCTACACCGTTCACCTGATTTGGATGTAAATACCCTCAATTAAAGCTGACAGTCTGCAGTTAAAGCACATCTTGTTCGTTTCATTTCAAATCCATTGTGGTGGTGTATAGAGCCAAAAATGTTAGAATTGTGTCGATGTCCCAATATTTATGGACCTGACTGTATTTATAAACCATATAGGGTCTGGGATTAAAAATCCCATTTCAGTCTTTGCAGATGACACCAAGCTGTGCAGTGGAATAACGTCTTTACAGGATGTCTCCAATTTACAAGCTGACCTCAGTGCACTGTTTAATTGGGCAACTATGTGGCAAATGACGTTTAATGTTGATAAATGTAAGGTGAATCAATGGTGGAGAAGGATCTGGGAGTTCTGGTAGATCACAAGCTTAATAATGGCATGTAATTCCAAGCTGCGGTTTCTAAAGCGAGCAAAATCCTCTCTTGTATTAAAAGTGGTATAGACTCCAGAGAGAGATATAATTTTACCCCTGTACAGATCATTAGTAACACCTCATCTGGAATATACACTTCAGTTTTGGGCACCAATTCACAAAAAATGAACATTGGGGAACTGGAGAAAGCACAGAGAAGGGCAACTAAACTGATAAGAGGCATGGAGGAGCTCAGCTATGAGGAAAGATTAGAGGAACTGAATTTATTCTCTCGAGAAGAGGAGATTAAGGAGGGATATGATCAACATGTATAAATACATCAGTGGTTCATATAGTGAACTCAGTGTAGAGCTATTCACCCTGAGGTCATCACAGAGGACAAGGGGGCACTCTTTATGTATGGAGGAAAAAGATTTAATCTCCAAATACGGAAAGGTTTCTTCACAGTGAGAGCTGTGAAAATGTGGAATAGACTCCCTCAAAAGTTGGTTCTGGCCAGCTCAGTGGATTGCTTTAAAAAAAAAAGTTCTGGATTCTTTCCTAGATACACAGATAATACAACTGGATACTGACATTTATAGTTAAATTTGATCCAGAGAATATTCAACTGCCTTTCCGGGGTTCAGGAAGTAATTTTTTCCCCTCTGGATCAACTGTGGGTATAGATTATAACTTTTTTTTTTTTTTTAATGGTTGAACTGGATGGACTTTTGTCTTTTTTGAGCCAGACTAACTATGTAACTATTATGGCAGTCACCTTGTGGAGGTGCTGAATCAAAAGGCTGAAACAGACCACTTCTGAACAAAGTCCTCACTAAACAGGCAGGGAGACAAAAATTGCAATGTATTGCAACAGGGTAAAGCGGCTCAGTTTGAGATAACAACTCAGAATCAGACAGTCTTTGTAGTCTGCATTGGCTCAGAAGTAGCCAAGGCTACATTTAAATTGGATGCTGCAGTCCATGGCTCAAAAGCTCCCAAGACAAGTAAATTGGATCCTGATTATACTGGAGAGGGGATGGCAGTGCTCTTGTGGTCTCAGCGATCAGTTGAAACCTGGTTAATTTGGAGCATAAAATCCTGCAGGACTGTAGTAAAAACCTCAGTTGAAAGGGCAGAGAGCCCATCCACAATGGATCTCAAATGACGAACAAATAGATTGTAATACCAGAAGGCAGCAAGATTCCAGGCTACAGATATCACTACTATTAGAGGTGTGCTGCAGGCAGTCCTCATCTATAAAGGGATGGCATGCTGGGGGAAGCTGGCACAGCAGCACTGTGCCTCAACCAGGGCATCCTCCCTTTCCCCCTATTCTAGTATTAGCATCTAGAACCACATGTTGCAGCCATGAAGGCAATGTACAGGGTAATTGTTAGAGAAGTTCAAAACTGGAGGTTAGGGCACCTGGAGGTGACTGGAAAAGTCAGTAAAAAATAGGAAAAATACAGGGCCTGGCACCCAATAACAATGAGGGAGACCCCAATGTCCGGCTCAAATGGCCTACTCAAAAATTGAGTCTTCAGAAAGCACAAGCAGAAGGCAACGCCAGCATTTCAGCACCTGGAGAACAGAGCTTAGTGCCTTACAGCACTTCCAGGCTCACCTGGCAATGCCCAGTTCAGTGGGATCTGGCTTTGGTAACAGCCCAAAAGCTAGGCTGAAGATGACTGCACCAGATAGCTGCAAATCAGTGGGAAGACCACCTTCAGCTGTCTACAGTAGTCCAGAATGAAGACAAAAAGATGCCTAAAAAAATAAGTAAAATAAATCATTATATAAATATTATATATATATATATATAATTTTTTTTTTTTAAACAGAAAAAGTTATATCTTTAAAACTGTAGCATGTAGAAGGCGTCCATCCTCTTACAGTACCAGCAAAAAACTGTGGCATGCTGATAGGCCGGCCTACAACTTTTTTTTTTGGCTTTTTTCTAGTCCTTCTGTAGCAAGCAGTAAATCCTGAAGGTTTAAGACTGGGTGTCCCTCAATGGACAAGACAGAAAAAGTAATTTCTTTAAGCTATTACTACTGCTATTTAAAGAGGTTGTAAAGGCTCAAGGTTTTTTACCTTCATGCATTCTATGTATTAAGGTAAAAAAAAAACCTTCCGTGTGTAGTGGCTCCCTCCTAATACTTAACTGAGAATCGCGATTCAGAGATGTGCACTCTCCCTCCTCATTGGTTCCCACTGCTGTCAATAACAGCCAGTAAGGAGAGAGTGGGGGGGGGGGGGGGCGGACTCTGTGTGAATAGACACGCAAAGCAGGGGTCTCAGGAGCGAGCCTGCTTGGGTGTCCCCATAGCAAGCTGCTTGCTATGGGGGCACTAAGCAGGAGGGAGGGACCAGAGCACTGGCGGGGAACCTGAGAAGAGGAGGATCAGGGCTGCTCTGTGTAAAACCATTGCGCAGAGCAGGTATGTTTGTCATTTTTTTTTTTTTTTTTTTTTAAAGAGCTATAATATCACTTTAAAAGCAAGTAAGAAAGTACCTCTAGGTTCTTTCCAAAGTGATATTAAAGCTTTAAATAAAAAAAAAAAAACATGTCATACTTCCCTGCTCTGTGCAATGGTTTTACCACAGAGCAGCCCTGATCCTTTTCTTCTTGGGTCTCCCACCGGCGCTCCTGGCTCCTCCCCTTGACCAGTGCCCCCAATATAAAAGCCGTTTGCTAAGGGGGCACTGGTGCATGCTCGTTCCCAAGTCCTGCTCTTTGCATCCATAAGACATATAGAGCTGTGGCTTGGCCCTGCCCCTGCTCTCCCCTCACTGGCTTACTAACTATAATTGATAGCAGTGGAAGACAGTGTCTCAGCCAATGAGGAGAGAAAGAACTAGGACAACCAAGGCTCCTGTGCACATCGCTGGATCAAGAGAGGGGCTCAGGTGTGTATTGGGGGAAGATATGTGGGGAAAATCACAAGTTTTTTTTACCTTCTTGCAAGTTTATACACTAAAGCTGAACTTTACCCAAACAACTTGATACAAAAATAATGTTCTTTAGCAAGGAAAATACATTCCAATTAATAATGATGCAACCAAAATTATTGTGTGCTCTCTAAATTGCCTCCAGCATTGTTTCTTCTTGCTGGGGGTTACCATTTTGCTGAAGCCTGAAGTGAGTTAGCAGGACTTAATTTTCTGATAAAGTTTCACTTTAATTGCATGTAATTGTAATAAAAGCAATATAATGTTTTCCTTTACAATAAATGCGTAATGCAAGCAGAGATATAGGTATACAGTAAAACAGTATTATTTCTTACATGGGTTTACCCAAGGTGGATGACTGGGCTTGCAACCAATCCTGAGAAAGGAACAAAAAACACTATTACGTACTAAAACCAGATGCTACAATTAACAATACTAGTAAAAAAAACAATACTGATTAATAAAAATTGGAGAACAGAAAATGGAGCTGTTGCCCTTACAACCAGTCTGGACAACCTACCAACATATCATTCAAATGGAGAAGACTGGTTGGTGCACATTGGTATGAATGCACATTGCTTACTAACACACCATATGCATTATGTATGTTATGAGGACTTCAAAATATATACATATTTGCAGTCTTTAGTATAGGCCACATGAGCTTGGCTGCATGGGTACATCCATTCAATTATAAGACCCAAAGACCTTCAGCACAACCACTAAGGACAGAGTGTAATGCTAAAAATGAATGACCCCCATTATGTGCCAAAATGTGTGCCTAATGGTAAACTTCACCACAATAAAAAAATAAAACTAAATAAAGATTCAAAGGAATGCGCTAAATAAAATGTCACTATTATAATTAAGTGTCCATAATAAATCTGTGCAAGTCCAAACACCATAAAAACTCAAAAATTTCATCTGTGAACTCATAACACCGTGATTGATCCACCACCAAATGAATTAGATGGACACATCAGAGCTAAATGCTGATCAGATTATAGACCAGCACCAGCGCTTTTGCTCTGGGAGCGATGGGTAAACGATATCCAGATTGTAGATATAATATTTTGCAGTAATATTCACATATCCAGGTGATCAGTAGCAATATTCGGCAATGATGAACAACATCTCACTAACAGAAGCAATGCTCTGCAGCCAAAAATCTCAGGATGAATCTCTCCATGTGCCACCGTATCTCCATAAATGTATGAGCCACACTCAGGGACAAAAGGAAAAGAAATGATGGTGCAGCACGTTTAAAACACATATACATTTATTAAAACATCCAAAGCACTCACAAATAGGGTGTCCAGACAGACACCAGCTTGATCAGCAATATACAGCACTGAGTAGTGGCACCGCCCCAGATCACCTCCGACACACACGGGTGAAAAAATCCTGACATCATCAAGTAGGCCACACCCAACACGCTTCGTCACCACGACGTCATCAAGGGGCAGCACCGCCCCTTGGCGTCATGGTGACGAAACGCGTTGGGCATGGCCTACTTGATGTTGACGTCAGGACGTTTTTTCCCGTGTGTGTTGGAGGTGATCCGCGTGATCGTCCACTACTCAGTGCTGTATATTGCTGATCAAGCTGGTGTCTGTCTGGACACCCTATTTGTGAGTGCTTTGGATGTTTTAATAAATGTATATGTGTTTTAAACGTGCTGCACCATCATTTCTTTTCCTTTGTCCCTGAGTGTGGCTCATACATTTATGGAGATACGGTGGCACATGGAGATATTCATCCTGAGATTTTTGGCTGCAGAGCATTGCTTCTGTTAGTGAGATGTTGTTCATCATTGCCGAATATTGCTACTGATCACCTGGATATGTGAATATTACTGCAAAATATTATATCTACAATCTGGATATCGTTTACCCATCGCTCCCAGAGCAAAAGCGCTGGTGCTGGTCTATAATTTTATCAGCATTTAGCTCTGGTGTGTCCATCTAATTCATTTGGTGGTGGATCAATCACGGTGTTAATGAGTTCACAGATGAAATTTTAGTTTTTATGGTGTTTGAACTTGCACAGATTTATTATGGACACTTAATTACATAATGACATTTTATTTAGCGCATTCCTTTATTTTTTCATTTTATGCCAAATAATTTAAAAATGCTGCTATATTTATACATATATTTTTTTGGGTTGGGAGATGCTATATATATATTTATATATATTATTTTTTTAATTTATTTTTTTTTTATAGAAAGTGTGGCGCTTTTCCTATTTTTATTTATTTAGTAAATATCAATTCAACCTTAACTTTCAGTGTTTCCATAAAAAATGGACTATTGTCAATACGGCTGCTCACACCCCTTGTGTTCCCACAAGTGTACAAAATGCTGCAATGTATCCAACAATCATGCCGCGCAGTATAGCAATAATGATCAAATCAATTATACCATGTCCTGAAATAAATATATCAAAACCATAACCAACATATTATAACTTATCAATAAATAAGTGACAGTGATTTCCACCAGTCTCAAGTGTCCATACTATCTTGCAACCATACAGTGGTAATAAAAAGAAGAATCAAACCCCCCTATAAAATAATCACATCTTGTTGCTTTACAGCCTGAACCGAAGACAGACACACAGGTTTTTTTCTATCCAGCTGTATTTATTCAAGATCACCACACACACTCACACACACTAAAGCATTGAGGTGGTAATAACCTGTTATGAGAATGTTCCTCTGCAGCAGGGACTGGAGCACTTGTCAGGATAGAAGAAAAAATGGCTGGGACAAAAATACCGTCAAATTCTTGAGCTAAATCTGCTGCCCTCTTCCAAAAGTTGTCAATGGGAAGAAGGTTTACCTTCCAACATGACAAAGACCCAAATCACACAGCAAAAATGACCACACAATAGTTGAAAGAGAAAAAGGTGAAAGTCCTTGCCTGGCGTAATCAGAGTCCAGACTTAAACCCCATTGAAAATCTGTGGAATGACTTGAAGACTGCAGTCCACAAATGGTCACCATCAAATGTAACTGAACCTGAGCAGATCTGCAAAGAAGAATGGGCAAATATTGCAAATTTTAGATGTGCATAATTAGTAGAGACATATCCCAACAAACTAACGGCGGTAATTAAAGCAAAAGGTGGTTCATCAAAATACTGACACAAGGAGGTGGTCGTTTTTCCAACTCAGTGATTCTGATTTTTTAATTTATTTCTGACATGTTGGTGTTAGATCTTTCACATGGATGTTATAAGTAGCACTGAGTAAATAAAGCTGGATAAAACATTTTCAGGTCTCATTTCAGGTTGCAAAGTAACAAAATGTGATTATTTTAAAGGGGGATGCGTTAATATTTCATCAACTTCAATATTTCACCACGTGTATATCTCTTTACATCATACATATGCTCTCATCTTGAATTCTGACCCAATAACAGGTCTTATGCGCTTGCCCCTTAAAGTGGGGTCTCTTATACCACAGTTCTTGTGCCTTTCGCCACCTTGCTGCTGTTCTCAGTCCTTCATCCTCAGTATTCACACGATGAATGGAGATAATTCACTCAAGACACATTAGGAAATATAGTGCTTTCCATATAATAGACTCTATTTTTATAAAATATGTGTTATACTCAACTTAATCTGTGTACTAGCTCTGGTGAACATCAGTATCCATGTATATAAACAACAAGAAAACCTCCAACAAAATTGCCAACCACACACTTCCCAACACTCAATCGTGTAACTTCATCAGGGAATAAGGAGGTCGGTACATGCCAAGTGCCTTTTATATCCCAATAGCTGATTTGTTCCCATGGAGGCAGAGTAAATTGAATAGCAGATACATGGTGAGATAATGAAGTTGATGAAATATTAATGTAGCACAGAATTTTTAATACTGGATACCACAGTTATTGAACATTAAATTGTAAAAATATATATTATTATTATTATTATACAGGATTTATATAGCACCAACAGTTTGCGCAGCGCTTTACAATATAAGGGAGACAGTACAATTACAATACTTTCAGTACAGAAGGAATGTGAGGGCCTTGCTCGTGGAGCTTACAATCTAAAGGATATATGGTTGCAAGATAATACGGACACTTGGGACTGGCTGAAATCACTGTCATTTATTTATTTATTGATAAGTTATAAGATCCTGATATTGGTTTTGATATACAGTATTTATTTCAGCACATGGTATAATTGATTTGTTCATTATTATTATACTGCGCGGCACTATTTTTGGATACATCCATCTGACTGCTTGTGCTTACAAAAATATGACAGCAGCACAGGATTACACAGAGCAGTGAGAGTTGGGTCTGCTGACAGTAAGATCTAGCAGAATTAGGGCACTCTGTTGAGCAGACTATTATCTTGACCTTTTCCCACACTGATCGCATTACAAGAATCGACCTTGATCTGGCCTATTTAATGAAACCGCATAAGCAAAATCAATTAATAGACAGAACCAAGGCCACCTAAAAGCCATTCGGCTTATCAGGAACAAATGTGCATTACAAAACAAAATGAACAATTGTCCTAACCGCTATAAAAACCTCTTTAGAGTCCACATTGGTCACCTCCTCAGTCAGCGATGCTCTTCGACTGCTGCTGTGAACTAGAAAAAAATTACAAAGTAAGAGACAGATAAAGAGAATATTATGTTAGCTGTATGTATTTTTTAAGGCTGCCTACATCAGAGTTTATATGCAATTGGGCAGCTTTTATGTCTGCTACATTTATCGGTACAGCAAGATTGTCAGGTGCACGCTTTCCTGTATATAAGAGGCTTTGATAGCCACCAAAGTTTCCTTTGATCCTGGGAAAGTGTCATACTTCTACCTCCCTATTACTGTGATGAAAAGTGCTAAATACAACACACACAAAAATCATGTTAGTACATTAATGAGTGTGTATTCAGCCATAAGCTTTATTATTAAATTAATAAAGGCCAACAAAATGAGCAAGAGAGACTAAACTCCAGCCTTACCACAGTTGTACAGGTTTCTCTACTATTCTGAAATTGGTTACTGTGATTTCATTGTTGCAGCAAATCTGATACAGTTCACGTCTAGCATCATTTAGCGCTTTCCTTCCTATCCCTGGCCCATCCCTTTCAATCATTGGCCCTCAGTTCTTTCAATCCTGGTGGCTCAGGACCACATGTGGACATTGCCTAGGATAGTCTACATACAAATGCAATCTGTCAAGGAATTAAATGTGAACAAGAAATTGTGCTCAGAGAACTGATAAAGCAGCTGGCACAACAATCGATACAGACTCTTCAAATGGGTACAAATCAAAAGTGCAGTTCCATCTGAGATAATATTCAACAAATAAAGCAAATTATATAATAAAGTGAGTTCTCATAGTAAAACTGTGAAAAGAAAAATAGCAGTCCCAAAGTGATGAAAAAAAACAGGATCCTCAACTACACAATAAAATGATATAAACTTTCCTTGCCCCAAACAACATCAGATGTGATGAAACGCGTAGGGTAGAGCAAACACTAGTGACGGCATCACACACCCCGATTCTAGGAAGCAGCTCGTCTAAGCTTTGGGACCGGAAAATGATAGATAAGCGCTTATCCTTTTTAATACTGTGAGTAATTAGCACTTTTTAATAAACTTTATACTGCGATTTTACGCTACGTGGCTCCGTTGTATGGTCAACGTCAATGCTCTCTTTCCATTGTATGGTCAAGTTGTAACAGTTGGAATATGAGGCTCTTATGATGGTGTAATCACATCCAGAGGAGTTGTTCAACATCCCAAGCGGGGACCATATTAATAAACAGGCGTATTTGACTCTACTTGGTTGAAATAGTTAATTTTCCTTGGTAAGTGTGTTTTATAAAGCACACGGTGGTGAATCACTATGATATATCAAGAGCCACTTTAGTGGGTGGATGAAGATCTGTTTTTTCCCCACTTTGGGACTTCTTTTATTCTTTTCATAATTTGCTATGGACTTAATCTGCCTAGGAATGCCTGCTCCTCCAGACAGAAATTCACCCATCAATGCATTTTGATATTTGCATAACTCCTCTGAGGAGTAGCTAGTCCAGTGAATTAAAATTTTTGTTTGCTCCAAAGAATGTGGTCATGGTTATCTGCCTAAAGATATTTTTAGTAGCAAATATTTTCATTCATATAAACTCAAGTAATGTCACCACTTTCCTAAGGGACCCTTCACATAAGAAGGAAATGCATGTGACTAAGTTATCATTTATTATCACTCAAACCATCTCCTCAAGACTTACACTGCTCTAAGCGCAAGGACTGAGAGATCTTATGGAATTCCATGAATCCAGCACAGGATCGTACTTGTTTCAGGCTAGAAGGATGATATGGGTCCATCTACAAAATAAAGGAAAAAAATTCTAGCAAACCATACTGGGGGGGATTAAATCAAGGCAATTTGTGTCATGTTAGAGGAAAATTGTTGATTATGTCACAACTTAATGACAATTTTGGCTTTATGTTCCTCTGGAACTGAATATCTGAAACACTTCCATTATTCCCCCAACTTCTCCAAATAGCTTATCTGTGTGTAGAATGGCACTACTTCACAGGAGAGAAGTTGCAAGATTAATATACACCTTACCAACACGTACACCAGTGGTTCTCAACCTGTGGGTCGCGACCCCTTTGGGGGTCGAACGACCCTTTCACAGGGGTCCCCTAAGACCATCAGAAAACACATATTTCCGATGTGTAAAGAACAGCTACTGTGTAGAAAGCAGCTACTGTGTTGAAAGCAGCAGTATTGGAGGTAAAACGACACTCATGAATTATAATTACTGGGTAAATAATTTTATGGTTGGGGGTCACCACAACATGAGGAACTGTATTAAAGGGTCATGGCATTAGGAAGGTTGAGAACCACTGACGTACACAAATCTGGGGTACAATCTGCTATTTGTCGCACTACCATGAGACAAATTTCTAAACAGTATCTATAAGGCTCAGTCAACTTTACCTAGAGGGTTCCTGTAATTTTGCTGAGGATTTGAAAGCGCTTTTTGGCCTTCATGATAATGGAGTCTTAAGATCTGGTAAGTGTGCATCTATATCACCTGGTGATGGGGATCCTCATGAGTGCATTATTATTACTATAATAAGTGCATTTGATTGTTTTATCTGGGGTCAACACATCTGGTGAGTGGTAATATTTTTCATTGGGGTTGGAGTTATATGAAAGAATCTTAAGAAGCCTGATTCCTGATGCTGCAATCTGGGTGAATTAAGTCAACGTTTGGCGCTACAACTGTGATTTACAGTCAGATCCATAAATATTGGGACATCGACACAATTCTAACATTTTTGGCTCTATACACCACCACAATAGATTTGAAATGAAACGAACAAGATGTGCTTTAACTGCAGACTGTCAGCTTTAATTTGAGGGTATTTACATCCAAATCAGGTGAACGGTGTAGGAATTACAACAGTTTTCATATGTGCCTCCCACTTGTTAAGGGACCAAAAGTAATGGGACAATTGGCTTTTCAGCTGGTCCATGGCCAGGCGTGTGTTATTCCCTCATTATCCCAATTACAATGAGCAGATAAAAGGTCCAGAGTTCATTTCAAGTGTGCCATTTGCATTTGGAATCTGTTGCTGTCAACTCTCAAGATGAGATCCAAAGAGCTGTCACTATCAGTGAAGCAAGCCAACATTAGGCTGAAAAAACAAAACAAACCCATCAGAGATATAGCAAAAACATTATACGTGGCCAAAAAAACTGTTTGGAACATTCTTAAAAAGAAGGAACGCACCGGTGAGCTGGAAGACCACGGAAAACAACTGTGGTGGATGACCGAAGAATTCTTTCCCTGGTGAAGAAAAACACCCTTCACAACAGTTGGCCAGATCAAGAACACTCTCCAGGAGGTAGGCGTATGTGTGTCAAAGTCAGCAATCAAGAGAAGACTTCACCAGAGTGAATACAGAGGGTTCACCACAAGATGTAAACCATTGGTGAGCCTCAAAAACAGGAAGGCCAGATTAGAGTTTGCCAAACGACATAAAAAAGCCTTCACAGTTCTGGAACAACATCCTATGGACAGATGAGACCAAGATCAACTTGTACCAGAGTGATGGGAAGGGAAGAGAATGGAGAAGGAAAGGAACTGCTCATGATCCTAAGCATACCACCTCATCAGTGAAGCATGGTGGTGGTAGTGTCATGGCGTGGGCATGTATGGCTGCCAATGGAACTGGTTCTCTTGTATTTATTGATGATGTGACTGCTGACAAAAGCAGCAGGATGAATTCCGAAGTGTTTCGGGCAATATTATCTGCTCATATTCAGCCAAATGCTTCACAACTCATTGGACGCTGCTTCACAGTGCAGATGGACAATGACCCAAAGCATACTGCAAAAGCCATCAAAGAGTTTTTTAAGGGAAAGAAGTGGAATGTTATGCAATGGCCAAGTCAATCACCTGACCTGAATCCGATTGAGCATGCATTTCACTTGCTGAAGACAAAACTGAAGGGAAAATGCCCCAAGAACAAGCAGGAACTGAAGACAGTTGCAGTAGAGGCCTGGCAGAGCATCACCAGGGATGAAACCCAGCGTCTGGTGATGTCTATGCGTTCCAGACTTCAGGCTGTAATTGACTGCAAAGGTTTTGCAACCAAGTATTAAAAAGTGAAAGTTTGATTTATGATTATTATTCTGTCCCATTACTTTTGGTCCCTTAACAAGTGGAAAGCATATATGCAAACTGTTGTAATTCCTACACCGTTCACCTGATTTGGATGTAAATACCCTCAAATTAAAGCTGACAGTCTGCAGTTAAAGCACATCTTGTTCGTTTCATTTCAAATCCATTGTGGTGGTGTATAGAGCCAAAAATGTTAGAATTGTGTCGATGTCCCAATATTTATGGACCTGACTGTATTTACAGGTTCATTTTAAGTCATGAAAAGACCCCTGAAAGCATTTATTGAAAACAGTAAGAAAAAAAACAGTAAACATCAGCACTCATAAAACCCTAGGCCTTATGAGTAAATGCTGACATGCAAAACAGATCCAGTGTCTTTGTAGCATTTGTGGGCTTTTGTCATTGTGAATACATGATCACTGGTCCTTGGATGTATCGGTTACGGGTCATTTCAATACTTGAATAATAAACAAGCCTGCAGTTTACCATTTCAGCTGGGTTTATGTCTTCTTTGCTTTGGGGTTCTGATTTCTTCTGTTGTTTTTGAACCATTATACTATCCCTATGACCTGGAAAAAAAAAAAAAAAATTCAGGTCAGACACAGTAACATTATTATTATTACTACAGGTACTTATATAGCTCTGTCAATTCACGAAGCACTTTACATATATATTGTACATTCACATCAGTCCCTAACCCTCAAGGGGCGTACAATCTAAGGCCCCTAACTCACATTCATACATACACATACTTGGGCCAATTTAGACAGGAGCTAATTCACCTACCAGCATGTCTTTGGAGTGTGGGAGGAAACCGGAGTACCCAGTGGAAACCCACGCAGGCACAGGGAGAACATGCAAACTCCAGGCAGGTGGTGCCATGGTTGGGATTTGAACCAATGACCCTAGTACTGCCAGGCAGAAGTGTTAACCATTTAGCCACTGTGCTGCCCCTATAGATCTACTTAAAATCTATGAAAACAACATTTTTTGCCACTATCTTTAAAGCACACATTACAACAAATACCCTGAAGGTAGGCAAACATACATTAAACTTAAAACATTACATAGGGTACATTCACATTTGCGAATGCACCCTGTGTGGGATTAGCTGCGAGTAGGCAGCACCACTGAAAGTCATGGGAAGCTGCCGATGCTCGAATCTAATTGTGTCAACTTGCATGTACAGTAATAACTCATGCAGCTTTCATGTGCCCGTGGCCATTTATTTAATTTTACATACAGCACAGAGCCCTCACTGCGATGAAGCCCAAAAACCTCATGTAGCCCAGAGAGGTGTCTAGACTTAGGAAGCAATGATACACTCTTCCTTCCTGTGTTTAATGAGCTGTAAAACAAAATACTTCATCCCCATGTAGTGTAAAACAAAAGGAGGTGGCACCCCAGGAAGAACACAGGAGGAGATAGGACATGACTTTAGACGTAAGGGTTAATGGAGAGAAGAAGGTTATGTTCTTACAGAGGCCATTATAACCACTTTGAGAACAAATGGAGTGCCCTGGGAGCAACAGCACCTGAGGAAGTCCCCAGAGGAGCACATAAAATCACAAAGACAACAAAGAAGAGCAACTTCTTGCAAAAGGAAGTGCACAAGGAGCGCAAAAGCCAAGGTGTTAGCAAGAGGATATACAAGACCTTACAAAAGACCTGCAGGGGGGAATCTCCATGCCCCTGGGAAGAGAGGAGCATACGACCCAGAGGTTGGAATGTGTCTAACTAGCGAATATTAAACAATCTGAGATACTGGAAGATATCTGAGGGAGAGGCTGTAGAGCAGTTACATAATTAAGATGTACAGTGAGATGGGATGACAAGTACCTACAGACCACATGTGGAGTGTAAACAAGCAATTACAGGAGTTACTGAGAACAAGGGCCTGCAAACGTTTTCGGCACTAGGCTGGCAAAGAAGTTGACTGATGCCAATACTAATTCCTTTTGAGGAGGCGAAAGCAGAATGATTTTTCAGCTCATAAAACATCGTCTATTGATCTTTGGCCCTGATATAAGGAGAGAGGGCATATCAAATATCAGGGAACAGCCAGAGGGTTACAGGCCAGGGAGGTCTGTGTAAACAGGGCAATGTAACAGAGCTAACCTCCATACACAATGAGAAGTAGAGTTCCAGTGACCTTAAGTGGAAAAGACAGGAACTTGCTGTCCTACAGGAGTCCACCAGTAGAACCTGAGAGGAATTCTCAAGGAGATGCAACCAAAGGGTACTAATGGCGGTATGTTCATGAACATGGGGTCATTGTTAGACAAAATGTCATGATAAAGGGAATACCATTTTTAATGATAGGAGGATCATACTCAGATAACACGAGCAGTAAAAGGTCTTGGGAAAAAGCCCGAGAGTGGGGTGAGGCATCAACCCTAGAGGGAAGCACTATAATTTGTATTGGGCAAATGGTCAGATCTTGAAAAGAAAAAAAAAAACTTCAAAGCACCCAGAGGCATGAAGGCTCAGGGGGTTTGACTAAGAGTCTAATTAATGACATAGCATTACAAGCTGTAGCTAGATCGGCATCGTAAAAACTACATTGAAGTGTGGATAGATAGTAAAACCCATCACATTGCGGGTGCAATCAAAGTCAGAAGATCTCTTATAAGAGAGAGATAATGGCAAGTCTGAAGAAGACCAGAAACCATGCAACTGCAGTAGACTTAGTGACAAGTCTACAGGAGGTCAGCCAGGAGTCTGTCTACTTCAGTAATTAGAATAGATGTTTTTAGGAAAATGATGGAACATGCATTCTGATAAGTCTCCATTTGCAGGATTTTGAAGTCTTTGGAATCCTCAATGAAGGACGCAGTGAAATAAAAGGGCAGGATTCTTTGTCTAATGTGGAGCAGTTGTTAGTAGACATCATTTTCTCAATTTGTCAAGGGGTGGGGGCAACTTTTAATGTGAAGGTTTTTGAGCAGGTCTGCTGGATTTAGTGTTGACGGGTCTTCCATGACGGGAAAAACATCCCTGAGGGGGTGAACCGATTGTATAAACATCGTAGAGGAGGACCATTGAATACAGAAGCATGATTGAGGATAGTGGGGTAGGAACCCCCTTTCCTCAGTAGCCTCCTCAATGTTTCCCTTAAGAGAATTTCCAAAGAGGAGCTTACCTGCAAGAGCACAAGGCTCCTTTCAAGAGGGCGTTCTGGCGACCAGCCTTTAGAGTGTCATTAAAGTAAAAAAAAAATTATTACTGCTAATTATCTTTAAATTTCAATACCGGGCAATTTTACACCTTCCTGCCCAATGTACTTTTTATGATAAAATAAAAATTATGCATGTACACTGCATTATAGAATACCTGGTTGATCCCATTATGATTCCCTAGATATACATCAAGTAAAAATCCTGCTTGCTTAATTTTTGGGGCAGTATTTTTTAGTGCGGTAAAGAAAAGACAAAAACACACACCTCCCCATTGAAATGAATGGAGAAAGCGGAAAAAAAATGCACAGTAAAAAAAAATGCATAAGAGGAATGGCGATGTATTTTTTTTGTCATAATTTTTTGGAAAAAAAAAAATTAAAAAAAAAAAAATGAAAAAAAGTGCAGTACCCCATATGAAATGGCATGAGGTAAATACCCGGCAAAAACACATACGTGTTTTGCTACAGATCAATGTGAAAGAAAGTATCCTAACTGATCTAGAAACTGCTCATGAGTCATAAGGCAATAAGCAGTCAGATCTTGATAGAAGTCAAAGAAAGAAGCAATGTGAAAAATAAAAAATGACCTGCTGTAATGGTCACAGCAGTCACAGCAAAGAGAGTCGGATCTGTCACCTACGGACACAGACAAAAACTGGAGCCTCTCAGAGTGAGGGTTATATGGATACACTGGAAGGCAGTTGCCCCTGCAAAAAAAGGTTTTCCACCACTTGCATTATAGAATACCTGGTTGATCCCAAGATCCCAGATATACATCAGTAAAAAATTTTAATTTTTGGGGCAGGTTTAGTGCAGTCCACAATAAAAAACTGTTGAAATTAATGGAGAAAGCGGAAAAAAAAATGCTAAAAAAAAATGTACCCACATTGAGTTTTTGGTCCTGAAAAAAATGCCCTGAAAATGAGGTGTATACTGGTCAAAGAAAAGATCTGTGATGGAAAGTATCCTAGAGATACCGTTCATAAGCAACTAACACAAATCTTAAGTGAAAAGAAAAAACACACAGAAGGAGTCGGTAAAACTGCTGCCTCTCAGAGGTTGAAATGGATACACTGGAAGGCAGTTCCCAGCAAAGTTTTTGCCAGTGTCCAACCACTTGAATTAGCAGCATATAACCCATGGTCTAAGAATCCACTACTATGTCCTGTACTGTACAGTCAAGATAAAAAGGCTGTGATGGAATGGTAGAGATAGTTCAAAGCAACTCATACACAAAACTTAAGTAGAAGAAACACAGAAGAACAGGACTTAAAACTGCTAAAACATAGCTTTACCTTTACTAAACCCATGACCCTGAATTCAGTATATCTGGTCTCCCACATATATATTCTAGTAAATATAAGCTGCTAAATACCTTTTCTTGTCAGCAGTATTCAGCAGGTCTCTGACTTCTATCAGTGTTCAGCAGACCGTGTAGGAGGTTTATTCATTTTGCTCTAGGAAGATGCAGAACCCCTGACCTCTGTCTGGACAGTGCTCATCATATGCACTCTCTCAAGAAAAAAAAAAAACCTCTCTCTAGCAATACACACCAAATTGAGCATGTGCAGAGTGACTCCACATGATATGTCTTATTAGGAGATAAGAGGGATACACTGGAAGAAGGGGATGATCAGAGAAGTCGGGATCAAACAGCCTTTTTACACAATGTAAAGCAGGGGTCCTCAAACTTTTTAAACAGGGGGCCAGTTCACTGTCCCTCAGACCGTTGGAGGGCCGGACTATAGTTTAAAAAAAAAAAAAAAAAAACTATGGTCATCTCCTGTACTGTGTCCGCATTTGTTCAGAGACTGCGGACATACAACGGCGGTGGGAATACTGGGCCGGTCGCTCTATAAGACGCACAGACATTTCCCCCCAAGTGTGTCTTATGGAGCGAAATAGTGTCCCACCATTGGTGTCAGTGGGAGGAATAGTGTCCCCCCATTGGTGTCAGTGGGAGGAATAGTGTCTCATCATTGGTGTCAATGGGAGGAATAGTGCCTCATCATTGGTGTCAGTGGGAGGAATAGTGCCTCATCATTGGTGTCAGTAGGAGGAATAGTGCTCCATCATTGGTGTCAGTGGGAGGAATCGTGCCCCATCATTGGTGTCAGTGGGAGGAATAGTGTCCCATCATTGGTGTCAGTGGGAGGAATAGTACGTCATTGGTGCCAGTGGGGGGGGGGGTGGAATAGCGCCCCATCATTGGTGTCAGTGGGGGGAGGAATAGTGCCCCATCACTGGTGTCAGTGGGGGGAGGAATAGTGCCCCATCACTGGTGTCAATGGGAGGAATAGTGCCCCATCACTGGTGTCAGTGGGGGGGAGGAGGAATAGTGCCCCATCATTGGTGGTGTCAGTGGGGGGGAGGAATAGTGCCCCATCATTGGTGTCAGTGGGAGGAATAATGCCCCATCATTATTATCAGTGACACCAATGATGGGGCACTATTCCTCCAACTGACAGCAATAACACTTAACTAGCCAACCCCTGCTTCCGCATGGTGCTGCTGCAGCCAGCATACCTGGTTGCAGCAGTACCATCTGCACGGCACACTTACCAGGCGGTCCTTCCTTCACTTCAGCCTCTCCCTCCCTTGATTTTCGCGGGGCCGCTCGGCTCCGCCTCCTCGTCAGTGATTGGCCACCTGTGTGCCTTTCCTGAGCTACAGTACTGGCGCCCAATCACCGGGGAGGAGGCTGAGCCGAGCGGTAGCGCGGCCATTAAATGAGGGAGCGGCCGGAGTGAAAGACTTGCGCATCCTGGACTGGATCGTCGTGGGACTGGAGCCAGGTAAGAGACAGCAGCCCCCTGCCCGCCCCTGTACTTAGTGTCCCCTGCCGGCGGGCCGGATGAATGTGCTCGGTGGGCCGCATGTGGCCCGCAGTTTGAGGACCCCTGATGTAGAGGATTAACCCATTAGATTCCACAATGAGTATAAAAAGCATGCTTTACTGCATATACAGACTAATTTTACTGTTGTGAGTTTAGTAACACTTTAAACATACATAAAGAGTTTCACCTGACAAAGTATATGTAATTATGTTTTTTGTAATCGTGTTCAGTCAAACTTCATTACAGGAACCCCTGTCAGACAGCACAGTCAGGTTGGTGAGCTAGCTTTATTTTATTATAAAGAAAGAAAGCAGTTTGGTCACCAACCTTAGCAGCCTATAAGTGAACAATAAAGCAGTAGCAGCACAATGATGAGGTCAACTTTTGTGTAAACAGGTATTTACAGCACAGTTGTGAAAAAGTTTAGCTTTGCCTGGCTCAAAGGGCTGCCGACACTTTCCCAGTGCACGTGCCTCTGTGCAGGGGATTAGGTGAAATTTTGAGATACGTATATTATTATTGAATCATTAAATACTGTATATTTGGTTTTCTTTATATCTGCCTAGATTTCAGGTTGAACCTAAAAGACACTCACCTACGAAAGCTCCAAATTCAACTGTATTTTCAGTTTCTTTAGAAGATTTCTCCTGAAGAGGCATTTCCAACTTTGATGCCACATCCGCTTGATTTTTCGAACTCGGCTGGGTTGGTGTGCTTACAAAAAATGTAGCAGAGGGTGAAACACAGCTTGGCACACTACTGGTGAAGTTGACAGGGTTCTGATTATCAATGAGTGACTGGGCTCCCTGTGTGCTTGGCAGTTCTACAGGACAATCCACAGCGGAAACTAAGGCACCTCCAGATGGACCAGCCATTGGAATATTACGTTTTTCTCTACAAGGTGGAAAGAAAGGGTCTTCAGATAATTTTCTGCCCAAAACACTTCTTTCATCCCTCAAAGATATATTGAACAGTAAATTACTGTTTGCCTCAGGGCTACCCTGTGGAAATGAAGAGCCGAAAAAATTGCCAACACTCTGTTTCTTCCTCATAGAGGTACGGAGTGGCCCATCATCCACCAAAGTTTGTCCCAAGTGCTTGGAAATGCTTAGCTCACGTGTGATTTCATTATGGACCTTGCTAGCTTCTGATGCTTTCTGTGCAGTTAGAGTTTTCAAGGTGTCCACGGTAAGAGCAGAAAGGTCTTGTAAGTGTCCAATCTGTGAATCCAAAGAGTGCAAAGAACGCTTTATGTAGTTTACTCGATCTCCAACCTCTTTAATCTGTATACACATCTGTTCCACCCTACAAAATAAAAACTGTGTTACAATACAAAAAGTCATATGTTACATCATGGCTTTAATGGTGTGTTTCTTTCAATACTTTGTTCATACAGCTATATTTAAAGGTTAAGTTCCGAAAAAAATTATAAATTAACATATTTTTGCAGAAAAAAAATTGTGCATTTAATTGTTTTTCTTGCAACAGCCTGGAAATCATTGCACCAGTGATCTGTGGATCAGGATGCAAAGCCCTGCAGCATTCAGCCCGTACCTCCATAAGCCTGTTTGAAAGCTACAGGGCTTGTGAAGAACTACTAAGTCACTCATCAGCAATCTGCCCCAGTTGCAGATGGTACATGTAGCTCCATTCATGCACAGGAAACACTGAATGAATGACGCAGTCATGTGGGCAGAGCCCCGCACGGCTGTGCTGTTTTTGAATTGTGACAGCAGGTGTGGGGAGAGGATCCTTTGCTTGCTGCCACATTTGATGGGGTGGATCAGAGGAGAGGAAGCAGGAGCTGGAACATGTTACATGTTCCACCCTAAATATGGGTGGAACATGTTACATGTTCCACCCTAAATATGGGTGGAACATGTAACATGTTCCAAAAGGTGAACATATCCTTTAATTGTAAAAACCCACAGAGGTTTCAAAAAGTTTTGCGAATGTTAATTATCGGCCTGATAAATAGTTGAGCTAATAGAACACTCACGGCTAAATGTAAATACCATTACTGAAATCTAGCACACGCCACATACTGTAAATGCATTTCAGTTGGACAATGAACAATAACATTTTGTAGGACTAAAACAATGAAATGACACTAAAACATTTTTTACTAGCTGCTGGTTTAAAGGCAGGGCAATTCTTTAGGGGAAAGTGACGTGCCTGTTCGTGAGATCGAGATGATGTGGCACTAACAGACATTGAAATATTGCCTGTTTACCAACAAAGGCAGAGCTTGATTTGGTATAACCTGATTAGATAACAGATATGAATCTCATCATCTTCATTACTAAAACAATTTTGCAGTTGTAAAAAGAGGAATTTTGACTTGTAAATTCCAAATCATGGAGTACAGTACAGGACACAGGCAATGCAATTCATAAATTCAAACTGGCCCAGAAGAAGTTGATACACACACTCAGATTTTTAGCAGATTACATCTGGCCTTTTTCTAAACAGTCCAGATCTTCTTAGGGCCCACTTTCATCCTGCTTTCTAGTCTCTGACTTCAACAGCATGGCTGTTGAAGTCCAGGTCTTAAAAGATCTAGGGGACTCTGAAACTCTAATTCCTACCTTGCTGAAAGCAAGAAAAATCTACTATTGTATCTGGAAATCCTTCTTTGTCTGCTGTGAACACAGGCACTTCAGTCCCAAAGATTACTCTGTGCCTCACAATCTGGCCTTCCTACAATCAGTCTTAACCAAAACTTGGTGGATAAATTGGAATATGCACATAGGAATCTTGGATGTCTATGGATGCTAGACATTTCCCTTATCTCAGAGGCAATTACTGACCTACAGATTCCATGTGAGTTTTAAAGGTATTTGCTGAGGGATTTTCAGTCCACAATAGGACGAATACCCCCATCCATTGGACTTTCATACCATGGACAGATTTAAATAAAATCCTTTCAACCTGTCTTGAGGGGGTACTGACACAACTACTTCCTGAGACAAGAGATGGTTCAGGGCATTTTGCAAATATTACTGTCCTTGACCAATCATTAGTTGATTTGAGAGAAGAAATAGATGAGGGGGTCAGGTTTCCATCTATTTTGTACTCCTTTCAAAACCAATTATTGAACCCCAGACCTGAGTCATCTGTGACCCAGAGAGAGGCAAATTGAAACAGACATCCCCCCACCTCTAGGAGTGTGGGTGCCCGTTCATTGGGAAGAGGGCTTTGTAGACCATGTCTTGCATTGATAGTATGGGAAGAACTTGGGTTTGGATTTTAAGCCTGTATGGAGCTGTACCTGAGCTCAAGGTTCCACTGTGGAAGTAAAACCTTCCCTTCTGTCACATTTTTTATAAATTGGTTAAGTGCAACCTCAAACAGAGGTCTTCCTTAAAAAGGCATGTGTGTGAGAAATCTTTTACAGGAGGCTTTGGTGGTCCAGGCTCTTAGCCACAAAATTCTGCGCGTGTGAAAGGAGATAACAGCCATTTTATAAAATTTATCTCATGACATGAGATAAATGCTGTAATTATGCTGTTACTCTATTAAAGCATGACCCTGGAAAACAGGATCTATTCTAGTCTGGTTAGCTGTAGTTTGAAACACTGAAATTGCAGCAAGAGCTGGTTGCAGGGCTGAGCCTGCCAAAGTAAAGATAGCCTTTAAAAGAATCTCAAATTTTCTGTATGCAGAATCTTTGAAAGAAGAATCATCTTCAGGTACAGTGGAATGTTTGTTTAACCTCCCTGGCGGTAATCCTCAGTGTGGCTTGTGGTTAATTTTCAGTACCAAAAGTGGTAACCCCGAGCCACACTTGGGATTACACTGTAGTGTAACTTATCTTGTCCCTGCAATCACCCAATGTCCTCCCACTGTGTCCTCCGGCCGATGCCGGCACCAGTCTTCCGGGTTCCCTTCACTGCAAGTGCCGCAACAGAGGGGGCGGAACCGGCAGAAGATTAAAAAAAGTCAACAAAAGATGACACAAACACACACACACTACATTGTAATCTATTAGGATTACATTACTGTATCAAACCATTTCACCTCAGTTTTGTCCCTAGTGCTTTGTCCAGTGCCCTACCTGCACTTTTACCATTCTTTCTGCCTGGAAACTTGAGAACGTCCATGACATCCAAAAATCATCCCTTTAGCTCAAAAACATTTTAGACCAGCTAGAAAACAGCGATAGTGAATTAAATCACTTGCAGAATTGAGCGATAGTGATTCGTGGGGAAATTCGTCATCAGACACTGAAAGTGACAACAGCAACGATTTTGTGACTGAGCTCAGTGATGTGCGAACTTAGAGCTCTATTTCAAATTTCAGTGTTTTTGGTTTGATTACATTATTGAATTAAATTTATTATTACATTTTATAATTATGTATTATTATAATTTCTGATTTTGTGTTTCAAACTTGATCATACCCGGGATGTTTACTAGACTCTTGTTTGGACAGATTAAGTGAGTTATTCCTAAGAATTACAGGCCTACAATACAAAACAACAAATTTCCATGCAAAACAAAGTACCGCTTTGACATTCAAAATATTGACAAAATCAGACCACCAGGGAGGTTAAGACTGAGACAGTAGAATCGACTACAGGAATAGATCACTGTTCTGTGAACTTTCTATCCACTGGAGAGAGTCTTCCAAAGATTTTGGGAGGAGTGAAAATCTTTTCTGGAGTGATCCAGTCATCATAGATTGAATGTTATATCTGTTCATGGAATGTATTTAAGGGTTTTTACAGGTCTTTCTGTACCAAAAGGGGCATTACTTGTTTGCCAAAGACTTTTGCGGGCGGCAGGCAGTGAACTCTGCATCAATAAATTGATGCTTTTGTCAGGCAGTACACTTGGGTTTTTTCCATGCCTGCTAAATTAAAGCTGAGAATTGGATGCAGTTGACTAAAGCTAGAATTGGATGCAGAGACTGAGTTAGAGTCAGTTCTGATTCCTGCTCCAGTTCAAGGGATGCATCAACCTTCTGAGATAGAGTGTTGTGTGGGCCTTCAGTACAGAAAAATGTTTGCCTGTGGTTTAGCAGTGGCTCCTTTTCACTCCCTGCCACAGCTACATGTGAAGGTATTCACTAAGTAGTTGTGCAGAATATAGGACAAGCATGTCCAGAAGAAAAAATGCAGCAGTTTGGGTGCACACCGTCCTGCAGCAAACCCTTGTGAAAAAATGGCAGCCTACAGCATCTGAGTACTATATACAGGCTCTAGGTGGATGTGGCAGTAAAATATGCGAACTGTGGTGTGATATAACAACTCTTCATCCACCTGATACGAAGCTCTGAGCAGGTAAACTTTAGCTCCAAATTTGAAGTTTCCTCGGTAGTGAATACAATTCAAATATAGCCCCAGCCTTTTACAGTAATGGACAGAAGCATACAGGGTAAGCCTGTCTTACCAGTCCACAAAGCTGAACTGTATATAAAGTCCAGTCTTTGCCTGTCTCGGTTGGCATACCCCTGAAGGGATGTTCTGGGAATGGGTACATTAGGATGGACCATTTCCCTAGACCCATATAGCACCCTGTGGCTGACTGCATGTGTTGCACTAAGCGCCAAAGTGATTGCCCATGAATGATCCAGTGCCCGGAGCAACTGTTCAAGCCATCCCCACTGCGTGGGGCCCAGCTCCAAAGGTTACATCGATCTGGATGCACTGCTTCCATTTGAGGCATTAGAAAACAGTTTGGCATTTATCTAAGAATCTTAAGATAAAATAAGTAGGACAAAAAAAAGTTAATTTTCTCTGTGCAAGAGAAGAGGTCAACCAACTTAGGGCACTATAACAAAACTGAGGATTCACAGAATGCGGTAGGGTTTTAGGAAAGGTGCTCAGTGGCCATGTCCTTCAAAGATTGCCAGTGTCCAGTCACCTGAAGACAAACCTATAAACCCATGGTGTATGAATACTTTGCCTGTTTCCTGCACTGTACGATTAAGATATCTTCATTATCCTTTTTGCAATAAGCAATAATGGCAAATACCAAAGAATTAAAAAAAAAAAACAAAAAAACATAATGATGTCACAAGTCTATAGGAGGTGCAGATTTTTCTTGTGTAATATGTGTTACCTTTCCGAAGTAACACGTATCCTCTCCTCACTTCCCAAATGAAATTTATCATCTTTGTCTTCATAAGCCAGTTATAGACTTGGGCGGGTGGCCACTTTTATGCATGTTTGAGTTTTTGGTACGTGGGTGCACTAGGGCCCTGGTTGCCATTGTGCTACATGCTGGGGTCCAGTGCACTCCTTTGCCTTTAAGAGGGGTGGCTCCCTCAGGTCCACCTGCCCTTGATCTATCCATTAAATGCATGTGCCTCTACTATGGGGACTCATAAATCTTAGAGTTAGGACCACAGATGATCAGGGTGCCGTGTCGTGGCTCTGTGGCTTGCGTATGTATTTGCAAATGTGTGCTAACTAAACCCCTGTTATAAACGCATACTGTTAGACAGGTTAATTCGGTTGTTAGCAAGCTGGCTGGCAAGTTGTCCAAGAACATTGTTCTCTCCCCCTTTTTTTCACTTTGTGATGCCTGTTTATGTGTCCTTGCTTCATAAGCCAGTTATAGACTTGGGGCGGGTGGCCACTTTTATGCATGTTTGAGTTTTTGGTACGTGGGTGCACTAGGGCCCTGGTTGCCATTGTGCTACATGCTGGGGTCCAGTGCACTCCTTTGCCTTTAAGAGGGGTGGCTCCCTCAGGTCCACCTGCCCTTGATCTATCCATTAAATGCATGTGCCTCTACTATGGGGACTCATAAATCTTAGAGTTAGGACCACAGATGATCAGGGTGCCGTGTCGTGGCTCTGTGGCTTGCGTATGTATTTGCAAATGTGTGCTAACTAAACCCCTGTTATAAACGCATACTGTTAGACAGGTTAATTCGGTTGTTAGCAAGCTGGCTGGCAAGTTGTCCAAGAACATTGTTCTCTCCCCCCCGTTTTTTTTTCACTGTATGATACTTTGCCTGTTTCCTGCACTGTACGATTAAGATATCTTCATTATCCTTTTTGCAATAAGCAATAATGGCAAATACCAAAGAATTAAAAAAAAAAAAAAAAAAAAAACATAATGATGTCACAAGTCTATAGGAGGTGCAAATTTTTCTTGTGTAATATGTGTTACCTTTCCGAAGTAACACGTATCCTCTCCTCACTTCCCAAATGAAATTTATCATCTTTGTCATTGAAATAAATCTCAACACACTGCTCTTCAAAATCATGAAGCTTCTTTTGGTCTTCCTCTGTTAGAAACAATTCTATTTAAAGGGAATAGAAAAAAAATATTATTTAGAGACTCTCTAAGAGGTTGGGCATTACCTGAACACCAATACCATTTAACATGAGGCCTATACAACAGTTTCAGGAACATGCTGGGAAAAAGTCTTTATTCAACACAAGGTAAAGCGATGTAGATTCTTTTACGGATTACTCATGAACTTAACAGTTCAGTATTTCATATCATAATTAACCTACTTACAAATACGTTTTTGTCCCAGACAACACTAACTCCAAAACTATGCTAGCAGCAAAAGTGATTAACTCCTTTGAGGCCTTGCAGCTCCTCTTGTTCAGAGCGCTGAGGTTCCCTTACTCTTTGACCCCTGCCATGTCTACCACTATTAGAGTTGGAAGAGCAGGCTTAGCACAGAAAAACACCCCAGGCATGCAAAGTCACCCATCGCTCCACTCCGGCTGAACCCCTTTACCTCATTTGTTCATTTGTATATGCTGCCTGACCCAGGAGTATATTATCAAGTAAATTTCCCAGGTGGTAGCTAGTTTTACCCTGAGGCGCTTCAGTCATTTGTCCTCGGAATTTAATGTCCCAACCGCATATTTCTTCCGTTATATGCAGCTCTCTCATGCCTTAAAGAGCCAGTTTCCACACACCTTTTTCCAACTGGTACAATCGACCTCAAACAGGTACTTAGGATAGACTGTACTGAAAAGCTCACCTCTCACATATATGCCCATCTGATATTGGTATTATTGCCTGCTTTAGAGACCCTCAGAGCAAGGCCGCAATGGGACATTCCACATTTAGATGATGATTGGGAAGATGTCTGGGATTTCCCAGAGATGTGGCCAATCCCTGGGAGATTTCTCCCATATTTTTTGGGCTTGCCCTGCTGTTGATGAGTACTGGACGGAGGTGATGACAATCATTAATTCTGTAACATCAAGTCCCCTACTAGAACTAGTGGAAAACCTCATTCCTACAGTGGCGGAGAGAACACTGGTTAGCCTCCTTTTCTATGCCAGAAAGGCCATAACATTGCACTGGCAAAAACAGGCCCCCCTACCAAATCCCTTTTGGAAGCAGTTGATAAATAATAACGGTCTGTTATACAAAAACACATATGCCAACAGAGGCATATGATAGGGTACGGTCTAAGTGGCTGCCAAAACCTACTACTACCTAGTAGTGTTTGGTAATCTTGAATGTTCCATTCAGTACCTCTTTCAGCCGCCTACCGCCCATAGGGTCATCCTTTAGCACACCATATGCTTTCACTCAAATTATCTGTTGAATCCTCAAATGTTTCCAGGCTTGAGCAACACCATATTTCTCCATGTGTTATCTGTACTGCTGTGTCTCTTATTCCTGTTCAGTTGACTTTATTGCACTCCTACGTGGGTAACAACTTGTCCTCCTTACTTTTTGTTTTGCTTTAAGATATTTTTTTTGTATATGAAACTTCAATAAACCGATTAAAAAAAAAAAAGATCCCTTTTTGTTAACTTTTATTAGTATACATAGGGGTTGATTTACTAAAACTGGAGAGTGCAAAATCTGGTACAGCTGTGCATGGTAGCCAATCAGCTTCTAACTTCGGTTTGTTCAACTAAAATTTGACAAAAAAAAACTGAAAGCTGATGGGTTTCTATGCAGAGCTGTACCAGATTTTGCACTCTCCAGTTTTAGTAAATCAACCCCAGTGTATTACAATAAGAACACCCCCCAAAGAGTCCAAGATGGTTGAACAATAGGAATAAACAACACATGGCAAACATGCCAGACCTAACAAGTACAGTCACAAAAAAAAAAAAAAAGAAGTGAAAAAAAAAAAAAGTCAAAAGTTCCAAGTCGAAAGTAAAGATGAAACATGTCGGGATGTGAAAGGTCATAAACAGGGAATGAGATTACTGATTCTCTGTGCATACAGCAGTCATGTGAATTATGCCAAATGTGATATGCAGAGTTTCAAGAATTTGTTTGGTGAGCTTCATTTTATATGGAATAAAGTATAGAGTTTTGGAATTTATTACATTATTGGAAGCATTTTGTTTTCTTACATGTCATAAGCCTATAATCACATTGAAAGCAGAGTTTAGAAGGAGAGGTGTTTGTTGAGGAGAAGCAAAAACTTGTCTGGATGCTGTTCTAAAGCTCATATCTGAAATATGAGAGGCAATATGATCTGGTGAGTTTACACTGCAGAGGGGTGATTGGGGGTAGTCACTGAAGGCACTATTGATGATACATTTCTAGAGTAGAAAGAATACACAGGAGTGGATTTTGTGTTTAAAAAAAAATATATATTTCAAAGTTTCTTGGGACTGAATGCAGTGGACTCTTATGGTGTGGTTCACTTTGAGCAGTATATATATATATATATATATATATATTATATATATATATATATAGTGGGGCAAAAAAGTATTAATCAGCCACCAATTGTGCAAGTTCTCCCACTTAAAAAGATGAGAGAGGCCTGTAATTGGCATCATAGGTAGACCTCAACTATGAGAGACAAAATGAGACAAAATGAGAAAAAAAATCCAGACAATCACATTGGCTGATTTGGAAAGAATTTATTTGCAAATTATGGTGGAAAAGAAGTATTTGGTCACCTACAAACAAGCAAGATTTCTGGCTCTCACAGACCTGTACCTTCTTCTTTAAGATACTCCTCTGTCCTGCACTCATTACCTGTATCAATGGCACTATTTGAACTTGCTATCAGTATAAATGACACCTGTCCACAACCTCAAAGAGTCACACTCCAAACTCCACTATGGGGAAGACCAAAGAGCTGTCGAAGGACACTAGAAACAAAATTGTAGACCTGCACCAGGCTGGGAAGACTGAATCTGCAATAGGCAAGCAGCTTGGTGTTAACAAATCAACTGTGGGAGCAATAACTAGAAAATGGAAGACATACAAGACCACTGATAAACTCCCTCGGTCTGGGGCTCCACGCAAGATCTCACCTCGTGGGGTCAAAATGATCACAAGAACGGTGAGCAAAAATCCCAGGACCACACGGGGGGACCTAGTGAATGACCTGCAGAGAGCTGGGACCAACGTAACAAAGGCTACTATCAGTAACACACTACGCCGCCAGGGACTCAGATCCTACAGTGCCAGACGTGTCCCCCTGCTTAAGCCAGTACATGTCCGGGCCTGTCTGACATTTGCTAGAGAGCATTTGGATGATCCAGAAGAGGATTGGGAGAATGTCATATGGTCAGATGAAACCAAAATAGAACTGTTTGGTAGAAACACAACTCGTCGTGTTTGGAGGAGAGAGAATGCTGAGTTGCATCCAAAGAACACCATACCTACTGTGAAGCATGGGGGTAACAACATCATGCTTTGGGGCTGTTTCTCCGCAAAGGGACCAGGACGACTGATCCATGTACAGGACAGAATGAATGGGGCCATGTATCGTGAGATTTTGAGTGCAAACCTCCTTCCATCAGCAAGGGCATTGAAGATGAAACGTGGCTGGGTCTTCCAACATGACAATGATCCCAAACATACCGCCCGGGCAACGAAGGAGTGGCTTCGTAGAAGCATTTCAAGGTCCTGGAGTGGCCTAGCCAGTCTCCAGATCTCAACCCCATAGAAAACCTTTGGAGGGAGTTGAAAGTCTGTGTTGCCCAGCGACAGCCCCAAAACATCACTGCTCTAGAGGAGATCTGCATGGAGGAATGGGCCAACATACCAGCAACAGTGTGTGCCAACCTTGTGAAGACTTACAGGAAACTTTTGACCTCTGTCATTGCAAACAAAGGATATATAACAAAGTATTGAGATGAACTTTTGATATTGACCAAATACATATTTTCCACCATAATTTGCAAATAAATTCTTTCCAAATCAGCCAATGTGATTGTCTGGATGTTTTTTCTCATTTTGTCTCTCATAGTTGAGGTCTACCTATGATGCCAATTACAGGCCTCTCTCATCTTTTTAAGTGGGAGAACTTGCACAATTAGTGGCTGACTAAATACTTTTTTGCCCCACTGTATATATATATATATATTTAGTCATATGTTTTTCACAGTGTTACTAGTGAATTGAGCACTATATTATCGATTACTTTATGGTACTGGATATATTGTAAGATACACAGTTTTTTCAGCGATAACCCCAGCAGTTTTACACTATTGGTGGCTGTCATCTGCTTCTTTTGCTAGGCTGTTATTATCGGAGTGCAAGAGATATAAAGTTGACTCTCCTGCTAGTCTGGTTCCCTATGTTGGATGATCCATTACTCAGAGGTGCATGCACCTCTGGACTTTCACAGGCCACCTATACTTTGGAGTCTTCTGTTCCAGTAAGAGGCTGTATGTGACATGGTGGAGGGATTCACTGGTGGCCTTCCAAACACGATATCTAACTACGTGAAGAAGTGGTGTCAGGGTTGGAAAGACATAGATCAGTGTTCTCATACCACTGAATCATCAGAACATCCACTTCTTTTGCCAATGGATCCCTGTACCTGGACAAAAACCTGTCCAGTGTGTTGTTAAAACTGGAAGCCAGAAGGTTTCACATATGGCGTTAATGGACGAATGATTTATATATTCCAACCTTTTATTGAGGTTTTGTGTAGTAGAGATCACCATTATATTGATGATTACTGAAGGATATAGCGCAACAGTATTAGTATATATGAATTTTAACACGGTTATACATTTATAGGATTTCTTTTGGGCACCGAGCGGTTTTCTTTTTTTATATATCTAATGAACTGGTAAACAGTGGAAAAATCATTAGTATAGCTACCTTAACATATAGGTAACAGGCACAATTTAATGAGAAAAATTAGAAGCAAGACACTAAAACTTACTTGGTCCATGTGAAGAGGTGTCCTTCTTTCTTCGTTTACACACAAAGCAGAACAGAGAAGACAAGTGACTGAAGATGATCAATGGTGGAGGCAAAAAAGGCTTTTCATGGTAAGCCATTATGAAGTGATAACGCTGGTACTTCCAAACAATATTTGAAATAGCCTTTACTTGGAAATATACATTGCTGTGAAAATAGAGGTAAAGGGAAACAGAATTAAATAGGATTTTTATACTCTACAAAACAAGACCTTTTGTAGTCATTGTAAAATTCTTATTTTGGAGTCCACTAAGGGAAAGAGGAAGTTTTAAAACCTGAAGGATATACTGCCACCTCTAGGAGTATTGGAAAATGGAGAAGAAAAAAAAAAGGGGGGGGAAGGCCAGACCAGAGTACAAACCCTCCTGGTACCAGCATCATAAACAGGGGTTGGACCTGTGCTAGTATTAGCAAAAAACTGCACTCCCAGCCCGACTGGAGTGTGTATATCAGTATGAAACAGCCTCAGACTGCTCTCAATCGACCACGCCCCTGACACATTTTGCACTGTCCACAGGGGCTTAGTCCTCCATGACTAAGCACCATTGGAGAGGAGGAATTGCGTCAAAGGATGCAATTGATGAAGGAGAGCTGTGTGAGGCCTTTTCATACTGATATACACACTCCAGTTGAGCTGGGAGTGCAGCTTTTTTCTAATACTAACATCTGTCACTGGTGGATGAGTGGATTCTCATGACGGCACTGCCATCTCTGAGAAGCTTTCAGTGGTGCTCTAAGTTTCTCTTCAGGGATGGGAACTGTGTTTCTCAAGAAAATGATTTTATGGCAAGTACAATTTCATCCACTGAGGGGCACATGAAGTCTAACATTTGGGACATCAAAAAAGCAGTCTAAAGCCAGCCATACATGAATTGAAATTCATCTGGTTCAGCAGGGACCCGTCGAATTTCAATCCATTTATAGGCAGGGTGGCTGTACATCATCGATCTACCAATCAACTTCTATACAACCGCCTTGTCAGATTTTTGCCACTCAATCAGCATCGCCAGCTATAGCCAGCAGTGCTGATCAGTGAATTCTGATGGTGTGGAAGTCTCCCTGCTGTCAGAACAAAATGTTACAGCAGGGAGGATTCCTCCATCCACCTTTGAATATGTAGATGGGGGAATTTAAGTCTAGCGGGTTGAATGAAAAAATGAATCATCTTTGGGCTGCGTAACTGAGGGATGAAGAACAACAAATGCGATCAGGCTGAACAAAACTGCAAAAAGCAGCCTGAAGGACCTTACGACCAAAGTTGACATCAGGTAAAACAAAGTTCTAAAAAGGTACAATTTAGAGAACAGAAGACCAGGTGGTAGCCTTAAAAATCTGGGAAACAGATGCCCGATGCTGAAAAGAACATAAGGTCCTCACAGATCAAGTATAGAAACAGAAACTAAAAAGGGGAAAACCCAGCCCAAATAGGTTCAAATAACAGCTTCTGAATGGAAAATATATATAGTGTTGCCCCTGGAAGATGTCTGATGACAAAACGCGTAGGATGGAGCACACTGTGATTGCGCTAACGGCTCGGAGTTGCTGGCCGGAGGCGACACAGCCTATGATTAAGCCTGTATACTTGTGTCAGTAGAGACACACAATATATGTGAGAACTGTTTGTATTTAATAATAAAGCATTTTAAGATGGTTTTACGCTATGAGAGACTCCTCTCTCTTCTTGCTTATGAGTTACAATATATGGAACAGTCTTCCTGAATGAACTGCTGGGGATCGTGATTCCTGGAGTGGTGTGCTTTTACTGCTGGTTTATAATTTTACCAGCATTAGGCTCTGATGAGTTTACCCAGTACCTAAGATGATGGAGAGCACTTTATTTTGGTGATTAAAAGAACATAAGAAGAGCACTGATCATTCATGTTGGATACGTAGGACTTTTATGAATGGTTATCTTTTGGAGTGGATCAGTTCTCTTCATATATTTACTTTTCACAAGATAGTTACAGGAATTGATTAACTTTTACACAGTTTTTGCATATGGATTTTTGCACATTTATCTTTATTGTATGAATTTTAAATTTTTGCACAGCACCAAGCACTTTATTGTTATATTATATGTTATATATGCATGAGCTTTTGTATAGTTACTTGCATATAGATTTTTGCACATGTATTTTTATTGCATGCATTTTTACATAGTTATTCATTATCTCTGCACAGCACTAAGCCTTTTATTGTGTTATATATGTTTTTTTGCACAGTGATAGATGTATTTATAGAGTTATTATTTAGGTGTAGAGTGGGTAGGTGGCACCTCATTCATAGAATGTGTTCATACTGTTCAAAGGTTTTGAATAGGGTTTTTTAATAGTGCTGTCTTTTCACACTCTATATTTGCATTTAATATATTTATATCATTTTTAGATAGCTGCTGTTTGTTCAGTTAGTGTAGTACCATAAACTGTGCTAAGTTCAAGAATTTCTTTGTAGCTTCTGAAGGGAAACCGAACGGGAAGTGGGCTTTCCAGCATTAATCATTGTAGAATCACATTTGATGCTCCTGTCCCTTAAGGTTTTGGCTTCAGTGGTCATGCCGATTAAAAGCTAGCAATGAAGTAAGATGTCAAATCAGCCCTTGAAATAGCTCCAAATGGTTTGGCAGGGTCCACAGTGCTTCTGCTAGAAATCTTACCAGATCAACGATCAAATTTGCCTGGGCCAATCTGGAGAATGGAGAATTGAGAATTACAGGAATGCCCTCGATTTCAATTCTGCACAGCACGTGAAGAAGTGGTGTCAGGGTTGGAAAGACATAGATCAGTGTTCTCATACCAATGAACCATCAGAACATCCACTTCTTTTGCCAGTGGATCCCTGTACCTGAACAAAAACCTGTCCAGTGTGTTGTTAAAACTGGAAGCCAGAAGGTCTATTTCTGGTATCCCTCTCCCCTGTGGCACAGGTCCTGAGAAACCCCCAGGTGCCTGCTGATGAAATCTGGTGCTAACGGTCTACACATGGAAATGTTCAGGGCTAACACTGATGATATGTGCTCAGGACAGGACTCACTCTACCTTTCTTAAATCAATGAGACTTCTGGTTTCTTCCTGACGGCTGATGTACAGTTGCAAGAAAAAGTATGTGAACCCCTTGGGATTACGTGGAGCTTTGCATGAATTGGGCATAAAATGTGCTCTGAACGTCATCTAAGTCACAACAATAGAAGAACACAGTCTGCTGAACATAATACTACACAAACATTAGATGTTGCCATGGTTTAATTGCACATAACATGTAAACATTCACAGTGCAGGGAGGAAAAAGTATGTGAGGCCCTAGCTTAATGACTTCTCCCAGAGCTAATTGGAGCCAGGAGTGAGCCAACCTTGACTCCAATCAGTGTGAGGATATTGGATGTGTTGCTGACAGCTGTCCTGCCCTTAAAAAACACACACCTGCTTTGGGTTTACTGGTTTCAAGAAGCACTGTCTGATGTGAACCATGCCTCGCAGAAAAGAGCTCTCAGAAGACCTACGATCAAGAATTGTTGACTTGCATGAAGCTGGAAAGGGTTACAAAAGTATCTCCAAAAGCCTTGATGTTCATGTGTCCACGGTAAGACAGACTGTCTACAAATGGAGAAAGTTTAGCACTGTTGCTACTCTCCCTAGGCGTGGTCGTCCTGTAAAAATGACTGCAAGAGCACAGCGCAGAATGCTGCATGAGGTAAAGAAGAATCCCAGAGTGTCAGCTAAAGACCTACAGAAATCTCTGGCACATGCTAACATTTTTGTTGACACATCTACAATAGGGAAAACATTAAACAAGAATGGTGTACATGGGAGGACACCACGGAGGAAGCCATTGCTGTCCAAAAAGAATATTGCAGCACGTTTGAAGTTTGCAAAAGAGCACCTGGATGTTCCACAGCACAACTGGCAAAATATACTGTGGACAGAGATGAAACCAAGATTGAGTTGTTTGGGAAGAACACACAACACTGTGTGGAGAAAAAAAAGGCACAGCAACATCAAAACCTCATCCCCACTGTAAAATGTGGCGGAGGGAGCATCATGGTTTGGGGCTGCTTTGCTCCCTCAGGGCCTGGACGGATTGTTGTCATTGATGGGAAAATGAATTCCAGAGTTTATCAAGACAGTTTGCAGGAAAACGTACGACCATCTGTCCGCCAACTGAAGCTCCGCGGAGGATGGGTGATGCAACAGGACAATGACCCAAAGCATACAAGTAATTCAACAAAACAATGGCTGCAAGAGCACAGAATATGCCTTCTGGAGTGGCCCAGTCAGAGTCCTGACCTCAACCCGATTGAAATGCTGTGGCATGACCTTAAGAGAGCGATTCACACCAGACATACCAAGAATATTGCTACACTGAAACAGTTTTGTGAAGAGGATTGGTCCAAAATTACTCCAGATCGTTGTGCAGGTCTGATCTGCAACTACAGGAAACATTTGGTTGAGGTTATTGCTGCCAAAGGAGGGTCAACCAGTTATTAAGTCCAAAGGTTCACATACTTTTTCCTCCCTGCACTGTGAATGTTCACATGGTATGTGCAATTAAACCATGGCAACATCTAATGTTTGTGTAGTATTATGTTCAGCAGACTGTGTTCTTCTATTGTTGTGACTTAGATGACGTTCAGAGCACATTTTATGCCCAATTCATGCAAAACTCCACGTAATCCCAAGGGGTTCACATACTTTTTCTTGCAACTGTACACCACCGCTGTGGAGTTGTCAGACTGAATCACGATTGGATGGCCATCCAACAGATTGGTCCAACAATGATGGAACAACCAAATTGCTTGAAGCTCAAAGTCAAAGGATGAGATTCCTTCAACAACTAAGGGCCCAGTGTCAATAAGGTGCCCAGGATCTCTCACCCAGTTTGACAGGCTGGCATCAGGCTGTCTTGAGACTCTGCCAAGATGGGAAGAATGAATCAGCCAAATTCCTGAGACACCAAGCCAGAGATAGCCTTATCAACTGAAATGGCCTATCCAGAGGAGGACAGATTTATCCCACAATGACAGATGCAGGGGTCTGGAGTGAAACTGGGCAAAGGGAACTGCTACAAAGGAAGCTTCCATCAGCCCCATGAATCTCATGCTAAAGCAGAGATTCAGATGGTTCAAAGGCTAAAGGGTCTGGACCTAAAACTGTAGAGTCTGAAGTTTCTCCTGGGGAAGGAACACTCTGGCCTGAAACAGGTCCAGGACCAGACCCAAAAGACAACAGACATCTCCCACTCTGAAAAGGGGGGGTGCACCTTCATGCCGAGGGCTTGTCTAAGGATTTGGGAGACTTGAACTGCCAGACCTGGTGAGTGAATGCGAAGACAGGCTTGGAGGACCTCAACACTGAAGTGAAGGGAGTAGAAAAATAAAGGGACGCTTCTTGGCTATGAGAGGAAGACAACAATGCAGTCTGCTCCTTAGATTTCTACCACTGGAGAAAAGAAGTGACCATACCACTAGTAATATCTTTGATGAGAGAATATTTAGGGCTGATCCAAAGAGGTATTGTTCCTCGGAGGGAGTGCAGATCAAACGTTTCTTACAATATAAATCCACAGTCCAGAACATTAGCCAAAAGTGCCTTTTGTGTATGCACTAACATATGGGATAGGCAAGAGTCTTCCAGTAAGCCATCACAGATGAAATGTAACACTTCAGCGATCTGCTCCATACATTTAACAATCAAAGGGTGAATGGCAGCGGTGGTTAGATCACTTTTCAGGGATTTCTCCCAGTCAAGAATGTTCTGATAAAGTAAAAGCACAGTCAGCATCACGTGTAAGGCAGGACCGGCCAATGAAAAACACAGTTCTGGACAGGGTTTCCAACCACTATTCAGTTTGGTCCTTAAAAGCATATGCATCCTTCACCTAAAAGGTAGTTAGCCTGTTAACCAAAAGGCTGCCAGGCCAATAGCCGTTTGGCGGCCGGCAAAATGCTGTAGATTTCCGGGTGGACGCCATATGGCGTACTCCCGGGCATGCACAGTTTTCTCGCTTGCAGAGCCGCGCAGCGGCACGATCTGTCACCGGCCGTGTACCTCGGACACGGCCGATGACAGATCTGAGTACCGGCCCCGTTGCCAGTACCATGTAACCTGCTGTAACCAATCACAGCAGGTCACATGACAGTTGTATACAATGGATGGCTTCATTCATGCCATCCATTGTATACTAGTGTCTAGCTGTGAATGGTCACAGCGATCACATGCACATGTGGCCAAATCACAGCTAAGCACAAAAAAAAAAAAAAAAAACCCTGAATAAATCGATGTCATTCAGGTAAATGCTTGCTTATAGCAAAGTAATTCTTTGCTATAAGCAAATTATGTAAAAAAAAAAAAAAAAAAAAAAATACTGATCACATCCCCAAAGTAGTACAATGTTACTATGGTAACAGTGTACTAGTTTGGACATGGTGAAGTATGAAAAAAAATCTTAAAAAGAAAAATATTTTTTATAAAAAATTAAAAAAATTAAAAATATATATATATATTTTTTTTTTTCATACTGTCACCAGTGTCCCTGATCACCGTCATGCCAGTTATATGATGATGCTGTACTGCATTGGTGACAGTATGTAAAAAAAAAAATAGTGAAAATAATTTTTTCATTTTTTCATTTTCTGAAAAATTATGACAAAAAAAAATACAACTTCAAAAAACTCGCCATGCCTCTTATGAAGTACGTCACACTGTCTACTTTGCAAAAAGGGGTCAATTGGGGGATATCTGCACTGTTCTGACATTCTTGGACCTAAAGAAATTAGATTGGCTGTCAGTACTTCAGGATTGATCAATATTCAGATCTATACTATAGTTTGTGAACTCTATAACTTTCCTACAAACTAAAAAAATACATCCTAATTTGGGTTATTTTCACCAAAGACATGTAGCAGAATACATCTTGGCCTAAATTTATCAAGAACAATTATTTATTTGCAAACTTTTATAACAGAAACAAAGAAAAAGTCAGCTTTTTTTCAAAATTTTCGGTATTTTTTTGTTAATTTAGCAAAAAATAAAACCCCCCGCGCTGATTAAATACCACCAAAAGAAAGCTCTAGTTGTGTGAAGAAAATGATAAAATTTTAGTTTGGGTACAGTGTTGTATGACTGCGCAATTGTCAATCAAAGTGTGAGAGTGCTGAAACCTGAAAAAATGGCCTGGGAGAGAAAGGGGTAAAAGTGCCCGGTATGGAAATGGTTAAGGTACAATATGAGATGATCCACAGAAGGAACAGAACATTTCTCATCAAAATTTTTATGAAATACTATACAAATCTAGCTAGGATTTGTATGTATGTGCAACGTTTCAGGATGCTTGCAACCTTCTAATAAGACCACAAAGTGTGGTCACATAAACAGGTAATTTGTAGTAGTGGATTATTGCACGTGAATTACTTCCTTCATGTTGACATGCAAAGTGTTTATGGGCATGGCACAAAAGTGGCCAGTGTGACTGTGGCTACACCGGCCCAGTATGTGTGATTGGAGAGGGCCCCGATATTAAAACTGGTAGGTGTAAGACACTTTGTTGCTAAGAGATGGCTGCTGGCAGCAAAACAATGCATCCCAATAACAGAACAGGGAGTTAAAGCTGTATAATGAAATTAATGGTTTGTGGCAAGCTCCATGGAACAAGATGGGCTGTACTGACTTCACTACCTAAAACAGATGAGCCTTCAACATCTGGGAGCTCAATATGTCAAATGGAACCTTTAGTGGGAAAGAGACATTTTACTAGGGAAGCAACAGATATGTCGTATTCCAACCTTCCAACCCCTAAAAACCTGTTTAAAAAGCAGATTATAATACAGATTTAAAAAATAATAATAATAATTAGTTGAAACTAAAACAAGACCATCCAGATGTGTTAGTAGATAATTCCTTCAGTATCTATGCAAAGCATCTGGCATCTATCAAAGGTGTACAAGCCATATGGGAGAGCAACCACAGTCTAAAATCACTGAGAGAAGGTTTTCTGGAATTCATATGTGAACAAATTGTGATCTAGGAATGCAACCTCAAAATTGACTTACTTAAAAAATGCAATCAGAAGATTCACCATAATGATGTACTGTACAAAGAGGTAGACAGCTTGAAGAAATGGTGTCAACCATGTTCCCAGGTCACAGAGTTCTGGCACTTCAGAGTTTTTCTGCACAAACTATAAGAAGGGAGAGCATGAACAAAGTCAAAGGATAAAGGTTTCAAAATTTTTATATGAAAAAGAAGAAAAAAATAAACCTCAAGATCCCCATCTCTTGAAAACCTTGAATGTTTATCTGCCTCATGGTTTTGGATATGAGTCATAGGTCAATAAGCTGCATGCAACATAACATTCCATTTTTGATCTTTGCAAGTTCACATATATACCATACATGCACACACACCTCTCCAGAACCGCAGGTGTAAATTCCACCCATTCCCCACCAACACTAGCCTTTGGTTTTCTATTTCCTATGAAGCTCTGAGGACAACAATTAGATACAACATTAACAAATGTGTGAATATGTCCTGAAACATACCATCAATCTCATAAGCATACACTTCCCCAAAGATCATCCAGTACGGTTGAAAAACAATGTTCCTGGCAAGCATCCAAGTTGGTTCTTCAAGTGGGTATAAAATTGCTTGTCTTGGAACTCCAAAACTCAGAAGAACAACGGCCATTATGACAACTATGTAGAACATGTTTGCAACCTTAAATTAATGGGAAATGATAGTTATTTTTTTTAAATATTACATTATAAATTAGGGTTTTTTTGGAACTAAGTGCATAGATAATAATCAAAATGTATGTCAGGGCAAAACTACAATTAAAAAAAAAAAAAAAAAAAATCGGCAGGTTTTTTTAATAGATGAAAAATGTAAAGGAGCATAGTAAAATATTAAAAAATAACGACTGGACACACTCTAGGAGGTGAAAAAGTGACGTTTAGGGGTAAATTTGTAAAATGCTTGAACATAAAATTTAATAGGCCTTTAAAGTTTTCAGCAGTTCATTTGCTCTGAATAAACAGCTAGCAGCAGAGGACATGTATGAACTAGAGACAAGGAGGAATGCATGCTGCCTCTTCCTTCTTCCCCCTGCCACTCCAATTAAGTGGGCTGGTGACCTTGGGAGCCAGATAGAAAATGAAAGTTCACCTGCATATAATAAACTGGCATAGCTTAAAGAGTAAGTTCATCTCTTGTAAGATGTTACAACCATACTCAGGGTGTAACATGTTACGGTTGCAGCAGCCCTCGCACCCCCTAACCCCTGTTGTGACAGCAAGCTGGGGGATATTCTCCTCACACCCGCTGTCACAATTTAAAAAAAAAACAGACGCGTGCGTGAATCCTCCAACTCGGCTGCGTCATTCATTCATTCATTCACAGAGTGCTGTGAATGGGAGAACTAAGAGTACACCAGCCTTTGTGGATGTCGTTTTGTAGTTCACAATGAACTACCAGGGCACTGATCAGCACTCTAGTTAGTTCGCTGATGCTTCCTGTCATTTTGTAACTGCCTGCCTGAATGAGGTACAGGCAGACAGCTTACATGGATAGTCTGCAGGAGCCTTGCATTGCACCCAGGGTACAATGGTTTGCAGGCTCCAAGTAAAAAAATAAAATCCCGTTTTTACCTGCAAAAGGACACGCATTTATTACTTATTTTTTTTACAAGAAGGTGAACCTAAAAAGCTAAATAACTTTCTGATTGTTGTTTACATTACACCCATATTTAGGTTGTAACATGAAACATGGTCAGAGTCACAGCCCACCACCCTCAACACCCCCCCCCCCCCATTCCCTTACAGAAGCACCAGTTCCTATCAAATTAGAATTAGGTGCGGCTGTGCATGGCTCCGCCCACACAGTCGCATGATTCATTCACGGAGAGCTGTGCATAAAAACACAAAAACTAAACTGCTGTGGTAAATGGGACTGTAGTTCCAAATACAGTACAAGTGCAGTGACGTCACCAAACTTGTAATTCACTAATATTCCCTCTATCTCTGGTGCTGAAGGTCCATACTTCGGTAAAGACCTGAGCTGGAGGAAACATCTGCAGGAGCCAGAGCATTCCACCAACAATCCACTGTTTTAACACATGGATAAAAAAATGATAAGTATATTCACTTTACTTTTCCAGATAGGGTTTAGGATACAAGTGACCTTTTGCCAACAGTGTAAATGTAAAAACAAAGATTTTAGAACTGTCAGTTCAACACATTAACTTACCATTTTGCCAATCATCATGACATAGGGTCCAGCCTGCTGATTGACAGCCAAAAAATCGAGTAGCCTGACGTACCAAAATACGATATTAAGACAGTAAATTAACCTTCCACTGAGTAAAACATGACCATATGCAGGCTCCTTTCCAGTTGCATTGTGGTTTGAATCAAGGTTTAACGGTATTTCGGCATCATACTTATATGATGCAAGCCTCAGTCCACACCCAACAAAGAAAGTAATGATGGCGATTGTATCCGTAATATTAAAATAATCACCAAACCACACTTTAATTTTCTGGTTAATTTTGCCAGCTTCAGACATAAATATCTGCAATAAAAAGAAACATGAAGAAAATTAGGCAAATATCACCAAAATATTTTTATTCAACACACTTCATTGTTGAACCAACAATGGAGCATCCTCTTTTGTGTTTTGTGGCATTGAAAGGGTGCGTTCTACTGATCGGGGTGGTAGCAGATCCGGGGGCTGTTGGAATTTCACACTGCAGAGTTGGAGTCGCATTCCCAGTTGTCTTAATCACTGCTGGGATGCAGATCTGTATTTCAGATATATCCACTCCACAGATATATCCACTCCTAGGACTGCTCCCTCCCTGTTTTTGTGTATTCCACATCTTCAAAGTGCGATGCTACAATACAAGCAGGGTTTGTGTGTTATATGTATTTACACAGAGCATTCCTTTTGTTTATCCTGCTATATTTTATGCTCGGTTGGTAATATATAACTTGTTATTATTTTTAATATGCACTACATTGGTGGGGTTTGACTAGGTAATGGTCTGCTCCTTTCCCCTCCCCCTTTTTGTAAACAAACGATTTTAAGGACTATATAAGATGTGATTTACGTTTGTATGTTAGCCATGATTTAGCCTGAATGGCCCAAACAGGTTGGCTTTTTACTGGCCGTATTTCCCTTTTTTCAATCAACTACAACTGTGTAGCGGATTCACATAGACGTGCCGGCATTTCTGTGTGGAATCGGCTTTGATGGTCCTGGTTCTGTCACATTGTTCCCTGCTGGTCTTTCGGTCTTGTCCATCCCATGTAATGTCACATTAAAGCATCTGGGATAGAAAGGATGGAAGGAGGGGCCAGCAGGGAACAGCTTGCTTGCCTGACCTGGGCTGCATGCTGAAAGTGATAGGAGAATGTCTGCAGCGAGGAAGCAATCTACCTGTCAGCTGCCTGCGATTGACAGGTAGATCACAGAAAAACCTCTGGGCGGAACCTTAGGGCTCCACTGAACCCCGGTTCAGAAATTCTATCTTAAACACTGCCTTGTCCAAGTGCTGTGATTAAAAACATTCACAGTACAATAAGGGAACAAACTTTTGAAAAACACTGATGGGAACAATATGCTACACTGTAAATAATCATGCAGGAAGCAACTAATAGAAAGAAGAAATACAATGCAAGCTCTTTAAAACAGCATTTGGATAAAACCTTCTATACTGTATGTTAAAACTAAGCAAAACCATAAGCACAGGTTAAAAAAGTGAAGTGCACCAACCTCTCGTATCTTTTCAATTGCATATGTAAAAATGTAAGCAATTACAAGCCACTCCTGAGCAGACGGCAAGGGTCCCATCTTCACCAAAACAACAAATGTGAAAAGCATGAGAAATGCCAAATAGAACAACTGTAAGAAGAAAAAAAAATTAATATCAGGATAAAAAAAGTAAAATAAAGAAAACATAATACACAAGTATTCATTGTTTTGGCAACAAATGGGGGATTCCTTGTACCTACCATAAAATCCTTTTCTATTTGTGCTTACCGAGAGCCAGTATTGTTGTTGGGGTATGTACCCTGCCTTCTCTATTGTTACCAGCTTGCAGAATTGGGGCATGCTACGCTGCCAATTGAGGTCAGTTAAAGCAACCTTACTTTTTTGTTTTGTTTCAATTTACACATTTTATTAAACCTCAGTTAAACCTGCTCAGCTGCCCAGCCCTAGTTAACACCTTCCCCCTTAGCTGCTATTTTTCTGCCAATTTTTGTTCTGATTTTCTATGTTTGGCCTTGTTCACATACCGCCTAGAGGAAACTTGGGTGCGCATGAGCAGCCCATTCACGTTTTGTTGTGGCAAAAATCACATCGCATTTAATCGGGAGGAATTGCCCCAATTGTTACCGAGGCCTTAGATGTCTGTTACATAAAAAGTAAGTAACACAAATAAAAGCGCATTTGGCCATATTTCTCCTGTGGGTCACAAGAGTGCACTTAGTTCTGCACTCCTATGACCCAGATTCACTGAACCAGTCCAGGGTCTGGAGGCATATTAACTTCAGTGTTGGATCCAACCAAATGTCTTACCGCAGCTGGCTCAGTCTCTGCGCCTGATACAACTGCTCCCTGCACAGCCCGGACCTGCAGCGAGTGTTAGAGGGGCAGAGCAGAGAGTCAGTGACAGAGTCACCACACTCTGAAGACCGAGAAGCAGAGGGGCACAAATGCAGCATCCGACCGATGCTGCATCCACCTTCGTGAGTATGTGTGTGTGTTTTGTAAACTCCCATACTTCTCTTTTAACGTGTTCTTTTCCAGTTTTTAGTCTGTTATGTCCTCTGTGTATATTCAGTCTAATAGCTTTTTTTTGCATAAAAATAAAGCAATCTAATGAATATTTTTGAGGCCATATTTATGACGGTATCTCCAATAACACCTAGTTAGCATGCTAAGGGTTTGCATTAATTTGGAAGTCTATGGTTATCTACAATAAAATGAGTAACTTTCAACCATATGGAAGAAGGTCCCCTCAGTTGTTCGACACTTATGACAGATTGGATTATCGCTCTTCCTCATTTTATATAGTCCAACAGGAGTGTGTTTGGTGGAGATCTCACTTGTATTATTTTACCTTTGGAGGAAGAAACTGTGTCCAAATAGGTAGTCAGCACTTCATTGCAAGCCTCCTCTGACAGCTCAAGTATGAGAACATGCCATCTGTCTCTAGAGGGATGGCAGGCATTAGCTTTGGTCTGATTTAGGGAAGCGTAGTATCTAGAAATCAATTTGTATTCCAAGGATATAAGAAGTCTTGGATGTGTATGAAGCAGCACATGGTATAAAAGTTCAGTTAATAGACTTTGAAACATTTAATGATTAAGAGCTGCAGATACAGTCAATGCATTTCTGGGGGAAAAAATCTTCCCCTTATTCAGGGCTGGAGCAGTTGGTTTAAAAACATCATAACAGAATGCATTAAGGGAATGGTGTTAGTCTTGGTGAAGTCTAGCATCTTTTAAACAGCACTAATGGCAGCCAATCCTTTTTAGAGTAATCTCACCCACAATATAAATGTAGATCTAAAACCAAATATGTTAAGTATCAGAAAAGGTAAGGCTATTCAACAAATAAAATGATTATTTTTGTGTCCAAGGAGACCACCACTCTAGTCCCAGGGATATCATGTTGCATTTGTAGTTTAACAAAGAATGGCATATTACATCTGTCTGGCATAAAGCCCATTTGATCTGATCCAATCAGTACAGTAATGACAGAGTGTAGTCTTCTGGACAATAGCTTTGCCGATATTTTAACACATGTGTCAATTAGGGAAACTGGGCCTTGGGATTCACAGTCCAATGAATCCTTGGTAGGTTTGTGAAGTATTACTATAAAAATGTTTTGTATAGAGGACGGTAAAGAACCCCCCCCCCCCCCCCCCCAGCACTATTGTTTACTTGAAATAGATCAGAGGTAAGCATTTCTCTGTGTTTGATACCAGTCAAGCCTAAACCAGTCAGGAAAAGTGTTATATAAAAGCAGAGACCTGTATTGCCTTGCTCAGGGGTGCAGAGGAGGACTAAGGCTGCATTTGCCAAGGAGTACACTATACAAAGGGAATCCAGCCATGATCACTGTACGTAATCACTGTCCATGCACGAATAGCTGTGGCCCCAAACAGCCTCTCATTGCACTGTAGATTACCACTGGGATTCGCAGCATGACTAAACACCAGTGCGAATACAGTCTAGATCTTTAGTGTCCAACCTCCTAAGAGCAGGTCATTTTCCACAGAAGTAATGTGTACCCCCATTAATAATTAGAGAGGAAATTACAAGTATCACCGCTGCAGGACATCCTTAACATCCAAAATAACAATGACTCAAAAAAAAACAAAAAAAAAAAAAAAAAAACTTTATCAATGCTTACCGTGTTAAACCAAAATTTCACAATTGGGGCATGGTAGAACGCATAGAACTTCTGAGCAATAGGAAGTCTTCGAGTTTTTGTTGGAATCTCAATTTCATGCTTAACTTCTGTACTGTCAAAAACCTGGACCTCCCTAAATACATTCTAAAACATACAAAACAAAGCAAATAAGTATGTTTCCAGAGCTATCCACAGTATATCTCAATATTCATAAGCTTGAAGTATTATAAAAACTATTAACTTATTCCACTTTAATGCCCCTAGTCAGCAGCATATATCTCTTCTTTGCATACCATTGCGCTGTTCAGCAGTTAAAGGTTACAGAGGGCCACATATGCCTCACATCCCTGCCCTCAGGAACCTACACCGCTGAGCTAAACACCAAACATTAACACGTTATTCCATATAACTGGCTGAAAGAAGCCGCATTGGTGAGTGAGTAATGCCTGGGCTGATCACTCACATGTGATCGCTGCATGAGAGAAAACATGTGAGTGTCTACGATTCGTTGTGGAAGTCAACAGCTTCCCATTGCTTTCAATGAGGCTGCCTCCTGCAGCAAACTGCAGGAACCCCACTAGAGTTCTCAAACCTAAACGGAGTGCAGGCGCATTCGCAGGCGTGAATGCACGCTAAAGCAAACCTGTTTAATTGCCCTGCAAAAGCAAAGAAGCCACTGTTGGGCTTAGAAAACACTGCTTCTACAAGAGTTTAGCTTTGTTTTTTTTTTCTGCCCGTAGAAGCAAGTCACTGTTATCCTATGTATCCATGCACATTAGGACATTTGAAAGCATATTTTAACCTCAGCATGTAAGAGATAGGAAAAAACCTGGCAGAAAACCAAGCTTGGCCACCTCTCCCCTGCATTCCCACTTGTCAAAGTGATCACCTATTTATTTATTTCAGGTACATATATAGCGCCGTCAATTTACGCAGCCCTTTACATATATATTGTACATTCACATCAGTCTTAACCCCTGACCCTCAAGGGGTGTACAATCTAAGGTATAAAAATAAAAGACTAACAATTACAGTAGGTTCATGAGGTGGTGTAGTAACAACACTACCTTTACAGTATCTTGCATGTAACTTGGGCTGCTTCTTTAGATCTCAAAATCTACCAGCTGTTTTAATATGAAGTCTTCACTGAAAGTGACCAATACTTCTGTGTTTATCAGATTTTGAATAGCCAGGGTTTGTGTGAGGTTTAAAGTTGAAGTCTTGAACATTTGTAAAGCTCCCATACTGAAACTGCTTACTCTCCCCTCACTGCACACTGAACTTTCCATTTCCTGGCTGGTGAATGTCCAGCATCATCATATCCTTTGCTCCTCAGTCTGACTATCCCGGATCCAACCACTTTATTATTATGTGGACATGGGAAGAGGCTCAGCATCACACATGGGCATTAGCTAGGGTCCTTCACATGCAAATGCATTCTGTCTAAAAATGCCCACATCTCCAGACTGATAACCACCCACCCCCATTAAGGCATTTTGATATTTGCAATACCCCTCCCAAAAGCAGTCTACTGCTTGTATCAGGGACAAGGGCTCTTGAGAGGAGTACCAAGACAGGGTGCTGCAATGTTTTCAGGAGGCTATGTGCAGCGTCCTGCTGGCCCCCTCCCACCAGCCATGAACTGCCTGTATTGCATAGATAAGCACAAAGACCCAGCAATGACACCAGTTTTAAAAATAGGATTTTTGACTCAAAGTGGAAGTTTATGCTTTCAGTCAACATTGACTATTTTTAATCCTTATGCTGCTAGCATTAGTAAATAGAATATAAAGTATTTAATATTTACTTGTTTTAAAGTTTTTTTTTACATTTCTTCAGTTACATGTCATAAAATTATGTTATAAATCCATGGAGTTTTCAGGTGGGGAGGAGGGGATTTCTCAACTATGCACACCCTGCTGCATACATGCCTGAGCAAAGGGCAGTTGGATTCCAGAGAGTAAGTGCTACATAAATCATCTGCCCTTACTCAAGATGACCACAGCCAGAAATGCTAGGGGGATGTTTTTCAAAGTGGTTTCTCAGCAAAATAAAGCAAGCTGATGTGGATGGATGAATGGATGGATGAGTTTGCTTAGAATATTAAAAATGAACGAAATGACATTTTTGGTTTGTGGTTCGCAGATGCAGTGTTGTTCCACTTTAAGGTACAACCTTTAAGTACATTAAAGGACACAGGATGAAGTAATTCAGGCACATTAGGCTATGCTGCGGCCTTCAGGAGGTTGGACACAAACAAACATGTCAAGATAGTCTAGTATGATCCCTCTTACTCCAATCATGCCTCAATTTTTTAAGCTGCAAAAGTAGGAGTTGATACCAAGAACAAAGGGAAGGGACCAAATGTCCCCAATGTACTCCATGAAAAGGATTTTTATGGCAAGTCAAAAATCATATTTTCTTAACTAAGGGACACAGGATGAAGTAATTCAAGTACATTGGATGTCCAAGAAAGCAGTCTAATTGGAGGGTGGGCAAAACAGCAAAAAAAGGCTTACACATACACACACACACACAGTATATATATATATATATATATGTATATATATATATATATATATATATATATATATATATAAATAAATATATATATATACACACATATACATACACACACATAGTGAAGTGACTGGCCTCAGGTGATACACAGAGATAGAACATCCTACAACATTTGTACCTGTATCTGCAGTCTTCTCTACATATGTACAAAGTCTAGAATTTATAAAGCTTCTCTGAGAGTTCAGAAAAAAGGGGGCAGAGAGCTGATTGGAGGGAAAAGAGATGTCCCCCTCCACACAGCTCACAGGAACAGAGCACCATGGCCCTGAATCTGTAAAGTGCTGTGAGAATGCACCATGCTTCTTCCTCTCAGTGGGGTCCAGGTATGGATTCTGTGGTAATGCCAAGGATCAGCTGATCCTTCTGACTGAAGCAACTAAAGAAATTCGCTAGAAGAAAATACATTTTCTAAAAATCAAAGAAAAAGTTTTGATTATCTCCAAGGAGAAGCTCTCCATTCTCCTAGAACACTAGCAAAAAAAAAATAAAGTATGATGGGGGGGGGGGAGATCTTGTTCTTGAGAGTAGACAGGCAACCAAGGAAGATAAATCGAGGAATAATTAAGAAGGTTAACCTATTCACACCAAGTGTACGCAAATATGCAGCCTCTCAGAGGATGGGCCTTGACGCCAAGCGGCTGCATATTTTTGTACCATTTGTAAACAAACTTGTGCTGAGAGCACATGCCCTGAGCGCTCCCAGCACTTGTGTCGGTGTCCCATGGAAAGGTCCCAATCTCTCCTTGCGATCAGGACTTTTCCGATCATATGACTGCCATGACAGCCAATCACAGCAGTCACAAAACCCTAAACCCCACCCTGCCTCCCGGAGTCAGAAACCCCTTAAAAGGGCTGGGAGGCGCCGGCGTGAAGTGTATCAACCAGTTTAATTTTTTTTTAAATAAACATAAGAATTTTACCCAGTCATTGCTGTGTGTTCACCATATTATACATTTCAAATCTGTGTTCCTTTCCTGCACTCTAATCATACTAATTTATCCATAAAACCCCAAGGGACGGTTCACACCATAGTAACACAATCCAGATGCGTTCTGGATGCGTTTCTGCATGCACATTTTTGGCACATTCGTATGTGTTTTTGATGCTTTTCGGTTCATTTTTTCCCCTCTTTCTTTTCTACAATTTAAATAGGGACATGTGCTTTCCAGTGCATTTTACGGAGTTCCAGTATAGTTCTGTGCAGGAAAAATGCAGACTATTTTACTTTTTTTTCTGCCACTGGAACTGCAAGCACTGATGTGAACTGTGACATTGACAACCATATAACCTACTTTCTGTACGTTTTGGAAAAAAAAAAAAGTACACTGAAAATGCAAGTAGTGTGAACTGGCCCTAAGTGATTGGTTTGTTAACTCACCATGGCAATGTTCTCTGGCACCTGCTGGAAGTTATTCTCACTGTCATCCATTGTCATTTGGTGGGCATCTTGAGACTGTGGGATGTGGGACATTTCTGCCTTGGTTTTATATTCAAGCATTAGAATTGTAGGTGGAACCAAAATACTCAAAATAACCTTGAACACAAAAGTTAAAAAAGTTAAAAGTAGTTTATCTACAAAGCTTCATTTAGTGAAAAAGGTTACCTGTTAGCAAAGGTAATCTAAACTAAAATGCCTGGCAATGGGTATTTCTTTGACATGTTAACAGTAACTTACATTTTTTTTTTAAAAGCACAAAACATTCAAATTGAATGATTTCCAGATATACGAACTCATTGGTACATCTGAAATCCTTTCACTGTGAATATGCTTCACTTATTCAGATTATAAGAATAAACAAAGAATATGAAAGTAATAAATACTATACAATGTACTGTATATTGCTTAATGTATGTATACTTTTAATAATAAAAGACAAAAAGTTAAAATTATCCAGCACAACATTTAAGCTGTTTAAATACTGAAGAAACATTTTGTAAGGTTGCATAAAGTACCTTATACCAGGAATTCTTCCTCATGTTTAACCGTCCCATCCACATATCAGACAGCAGCATTTGGGTACAGGTGTGGGACACAAAATTACGGAGCCTTGATGATACAGCTAATTTCAGGCAGGTGGAATTGCTCCAGTTTTTGAGTTCATAAGTAAGAATCTTCATTGCCATTGTTTCATCCTGTTTGAAGGCTTGATCAAGCAGGTCAACAGCCAGTTGTCCAAATTCACTACAACATGCAAAAAATGCATATGAAATTGTGCTATCAACACAAGTCTTTACTTTATTGATAAAGGAGAAAGCTATAGTATCACTATGCCAAATAATAATCACATACATTCTTAAGCTAGCTGTGTCTACAGCAGTAGTTAGTAAGCATCTAGTAACGTTAGCTTGAATGGTACCAAAGTCAGACTGCCGTTTCAATAGCCCCCTTTAAAAAAACTATACAATTATTTTATGACACAAAGTACATTAGGAACTTCCAAGAAATCTTAGACATAAAAAATGTATAATGTTTAGCAGGTTTTATGACCAAAACACTCATCGTTTTATTTGACCAGCAGCAGGCAATATGAAAAAAAATATATTCAAAACCAAAAGTGAATTAAAAATGTATTAAAGGGACTGTGGCTTTAGGATTCAGACGCTTCACCGTAGTCTTTGCTTATTAGTTGCAGGTATCCTAGTCCAACCTATTATCCACTTCTTAAAGCATGGAATCTGGCTAGCATGTTTCTTTTACTGCAGAAGACACATTGTGAGGTTGATTTACTAAAGGAAAATAGACTGTGCACTTTGCAAAGTGCAGTTGCACTCTGCAAAAGCAGTTGCTCCAGAGCTTAGTAAATGAGCAGATGTTCTGCTGACGTCCTCATCCAATCATGTGCAAGAAAAAAAATGCTTTTTTTTTATATTTTCCTTGCGTGTGATTGGGTATTTTTTGCAAAGGGAAGCTGTACCTCATTCACTAAGCTCTGGAGCAACTACACTTGCAGAGTGCAACTGCACTTTGCAAAGTGCAAGGTTTATTTGCCTTTAGTAAATCAAAGCCTGTATGTCTCTTGTGAAATAAAAAAGCCTACCTCCTCATAGTTTTTGAAAGAGGGATTTTAGTTCCATTTTACCATAAGACTGCAAAACAAAGTCCAATAAACAATTATGATTTGGAATACCTTGAATGTTCCTTCATTTCCTCTGAGAAGTCATCCACAACATCACTTTGCTTTGCTTCATAGGCCATGGAGCGGCACATTTTGCATGCTACAAGAGCTTTTGCCATGGACTCCTCCCCGTGCTGCCAGAAAAAAAGGGCCATTTTCTGTCTCTTCATTAGGACTGCCCAAACTAACAGCTCATTAAATGGGTAAGGAAAGCGTTTCATTTCTGGATCATCAATATCCACAATCTCATCTTTAACCCTTTTCTTCTTCACGTCATCTATGGAGGCATCCTGCAAGAAAAACATAGAGCATGAGGCATTTGCATTTAAATACGCCAACAGCATCCTTTTAAATAGCTGAAGATTGGCCAACAGTCACCAAATTTAAGACTCAACCCTCCAAAACTACATCTTATACTTTATAAGAACTTTACATTTTTCATTATATGCTGCAAAAGGAGGAGCAAGACCCCATATGGGGCAAGAGTAGGCCCAGTGTGATGGCAAGATTTTGATATTTAGGAATCAATAGGTAATGTTTAAAATTACAATCCTTAACCCAGAATAAAATAAAGTACTGAACAATAAAAAAAAAAGAAAACTCTCTGATCTTAACAGCAAAATTGCATTACCTTTGGTTTGTAAGGCTGTGCAGTTTTGATAAAGTGATTGTGCCTCATCCTCTCCTTTTTATCTGCTCTACTTCCAAAGGATTCATGCGGTTTACGCATTTGAGGTGTATTGCTTGAAGTGTTTCTCCCAGAACGCTGGAAATAAAATTGTAAAATCTGATGTTAACCAAACCTTGTACTATGAGTCGCAGTATCTCAGGTAGCCTAGACAATTTTATCAGCAATCCATAAATGTGTATAAATAATTTTCAAACGTGAGAGGAAACTCCAGAGGTAGCACTCTTTTCTATGTTCCTGATATCCATAAGGACCAATAAAAAAAGGGCCTAATCTTAGCAGGTCAAGCACCTTGCCACTGGAAGTCTCCCATTGCACTCACTATCAGGGACTGGGTGACAGAATTAAACATCATGAGAATGGAAGAAGCGCTGGCTACCGCCAATGAGAGTTGCAGTAAATTTTGGGGATTATGATACGCTTTAATAGACTTTGCAGCCTCGCTTCAGTTGTTACAATTTCTCAGATGAGCTAGTTTTAACCAGGTCCTATTGAGTCAATTTGTTTTGTTTCCTTTTCTTCTATTTATTGTTTGATACAAAAATGGTGGCCTCCCATTGTGATCTATTATCAGATGCTCCCCTACCGACATGACCTACATGTGCATTTGTGGGGAACAGGATCCAGACTCGCTTTCACTTGGTGTACCTCATCTCTTTTCTTATGAATGTTGATAAAAATATAACATGTGCCAGAACTTGTATTTCCTCATTCTAGAATCTTTGACATTTCAAGTTGATAGTATCTTGTGTTATTTTGATGTCGTCTTGGTAGATTGGATTTGTATCTTTCACTGATGATGATTGTATACATTTCTTGTTTTGCCACGACCTTAATAAACATATTTTATTAAAAAAAAAAATAATAATTTTCAAAGCAACAGTTTTAACCCTTTTCACTACCACCAACATATGGCACACTTCAGCAGCAGTGGGGGAGAGTCTGAAAGTCAGCTGTCCGGTGGAAGCGATCTGGTGACTGCTTGATCACTTCCTTGCATCCCTGGTATATTCACTACATACTTCAATGTTAAAAAGGGTTAGGGTCAAAAAGACCCCCAATGTTTCATTAACGAGAACATGTCACAACAAAACAGTATCAAACATGGGGACTTTCTGTGCCCTAAACCGAAAAAAAAAAAAAAAAAGTTTAAAGTAATCTTCAGACTTCAAGCCTAAAACGTGTGCCAGCAAATACCATGTTTGAAACCAGACAGGAAGTAAGAATGAGTATTATCCAAGTTACCCTGATTACAACCTACCCGGTTTCCCGCAAGAAGATTGTTGTAGATGATTCGAAAGCGTTTTCTTGTGTAAGTGCATCTATAGGTTCCTCCCATGAGATATTCAATGACCAGACCCACATCAATCAGCGTAATTTTGTAGTCTGGGGGGAGGTTACCCTGCAACCCACAAAACAAGTGGAAATAAATATAAACCTTTAGGAGCTTACAAAACAGTAATGCCATTTTTACAACTTAAAGTGAAACTGCTGTATAAAAATATAACTACAACAAAAATATACTTTTGGATGATTTAAGGTACCAATAGATGCCATGCGTTTTATCATCAGGCCTTCCAAAGCATTCCACAAGCCTCCCCCAAAAGCACTACTAAAAAAATAACTTTCTAAAAGTCAGCACAAAAGCCACATTTCCTGCCTGCATACCACATAGGCTTGGTTCCTAGGCAACTTACTGGCAATTACAGCTAAAGCATTAGGAAAATCAGAGTTGCCCAGAAGCTCCAACTTTGAGAACATAGGCATTTGCATAAAAGGAAGTGGCGTGTCAAAAAAGTACGTCTTAGTACTACTCTGTTTCCTTCTGCCTTCGCAAATTGTTACATTACAACAGGAATAGTTATACAACAGGTATTTTTATTCAGTCACATCCCACCTATGCTGCTTTCTAAGATATGTACCAGCAAGACTGTTATCCACTGAGCATGGCAGACAGAAACAGGGGAAAAAAAAAAAACTTACATACTTACTTACTCACTTTTAATGGTGTCAATCAATCATAATAAAGGCTACGTGAAGAGTGGAAACTAATCAAAATTTTATTTCACTGATCTGAATTGTATACAGACATCTCACAGGCTGCTGCGGAGTACAGCCAGCCATGTTATATTTATCGATCATCTTCTGTACAACCAGCCTGTCGAATAAATGCTGATCATTCATTGTATTCTGATGGTGGATAGTCTCCCCAGCGCCATAACACAATAGCTCCGAGGGAGGGATTCCCCCATCCACATGGAGTGTGTCAATGGGGGAATCAGGTCATTTTTTTCGTTCAACCCTTTGGTTGAAAGAAAAAAAACTAGCCCATCTATGGCCAGCTTAACTATTTTTAAAACATCTGGCACTTTTATTGATTAAGAAATGGCACGGTTTATTCTGAAAAATAACGACCATAGTGAATCCTGCAGTACAAGTTGTCAGTCAGCAAAAGGCAATTTCACTATTCTATACAGTAAATGATTCATATGCATGGGAACGTTGCCTCTTATTGCCTTACACTATCCTCTCTGCTACCAGGATAAAGTACCATCCCTCTCATTATTAAGTCCCTCCAATAGCAGCATATCACCTTAAAAAGGACAGATCAAAGTAAGAATCAAAAACAAAGATGGGCATAGATTAACTAAAAAACTGATATCCACATAATGCGCATGGGTCTCATGGCTGATGTTAATCTTCCAGTAAATAACTCGACTGATAAATGCACGTGTGTGATCATCATAGAACTCCTATGGTTATTCAGATAAGCAAGTTTTTTAGTGCAGGTGCCCAGTCCCTATATTTGACACAGATACCTGTGTTGTATTCAATTTATTAAAAGGAATAAATACTTTCCAATACATTTTTAGTTTTACTTGTAAAAGATATGACAGATGTAAACAATGTTATTAATGTGTATTTAAAAATGTTTCAATCTATAGTATGTTAGCATAGATGTATTTGGGTGCAGCCATATTACTGCATATTTAGACTTTCCTTCCTGCCTTGCAGGATATGGACTGCTTTCATTTCTGCTTTTTATCACAAAGTCTGCCAACCCACTGAAAAAATATGCTGCCTGTGTGGCTGATCTATTATTTCAAAAAGCTGAATCAAAAACAGAGCAATCTCAAAACTTACAGGCTAATGCTCTATCAACAGCCACTCAACAACGCAACTCAAAATGTGTGCTCAGAGCACCATACCTTCCATTCTAACAGCCCAATATTTACATACAGCTGACCAAATCTTTTGAAAGGAAAGAGAAGTAGAGAACAAAATGCATTGGATGCCTCTAAATAAAATACATAAATAATTAAATAAATGAAAAGAAAATGAAAGTAGTAATGATGACTGATAAACAAACAACAGTAAATGTGGCATGGCACTTGTTTGAGAAGTACTCAAAACAAAAACAACTAACAGGGAATAATGTTAAATTTACCTGTTTTACGTCGCGGACAAGATGGAACAGAGTTGGGTTAGTAGGACCTTGTTTCTTTAATGCAAAAAAAAAAACAAAAAACAAAACAAAAAACAAAAACAACAAAAAAAAAAACAAAGAAATACAGGTGAGTTATGTTATGAGCTAAGTTAATAAATGACAATCTTTTAGACATTTAAAATGTTTATTTATTTTCCTATTTAGGATGTGTGAAAGGGTATTAAAAGAGATGAACAGAGTAGAAAATGATTTATTTATAGTTTAAGCCATCACTCCTCCAAAAAAAAAAAAAAAAAAAAAAAAAAAAAAAAAAAAAAAACCCTTCAACCAGCGTAGTAAAAACAGTACTGGAATTTCGCTAACAAAATGGTAGCTATGGAAGTTGTAAAATGAACATCATCTGACCTAAAATGACCTCACTAGACAGTAAGAAAAGTGCAGACAGAGGGGCTACACAGCCATCATGAATGCTTTGGGGACAACTTGCTTTCTGGAATTGCAGGCTACTTAAGCAGCCTGAAACTAGGAACAGAAATCAGCTTACTGCTGCAGAACCATCATACACGTACCCATTAAAAGGATAGCATACAACAGTGATCGGCAAGCCTGCCAACCAATACCAAAGGGTTAAAAGAGTGCTTTGAGCTAAATGTCAATATTAAACAAAATGCTTACTTTGCATTCCATCAGATTAATAGGAATAGTGCCTGAAGCACCTGGCATACTCATGTCACAGCATTACTTCATCTAAATGGCAACTCATGCTAGGGAGAGCACAGAGGATGCCAGTATGGGATATTGGAAAATAAGGGCACCAGGCACACAGTACCTATGTGGATCAACATTAACATAAACCTAGGCTTTATCCATGCAGATCAAACTGCCACCATTCCCAGCAGCATATTCTTCTTTCCTTCATTTCCCCCAAGGCTCTGGTTAACCACAAGGTGCAAACTGAAGTACCCAGTAATTCCATGTTTGGGGAATATGTGATGCTCTCCCCTTCCTCCCATATGACAGCATTGGTTCTTGGCAATTGGCCCTCACATGGAAGTGGAAGGAGAATCTTTAACCCTGTGTGAGCTCCAGGTTGTGACTTGTTCTCTTCATTCCAGTGATTAAATGACTGGGGAAGGGGTGTAAAGAAGAGTTGAACATGTAGCTGGGGAGGGCAGCAACTCTTTCATCTGCATGTATTCAAAACATTAACAATAACATATAAAGCCATTTATAACTCTGCTCCAAATTACATCACCGATCTTGTCTCCAAATATCACCCAAGCCATACTCACCGCTCCTCGCACAACCTTCTGCTCTCTAGCTCCCTTGTCTCCTCCTCCATGCTCATCTCCAGGACTTCTCCAGAGCTTCCCTCATCCTCTGGAACTCTCTACCTCAATTTATCAGACTATTGCCTGCTCTGCTCACTTTTAGGCGATCTCTGAAAACCTCTCTTCAGGGAAGCCTATCCCGCCCTCAGCTAATAATGGAATCTTCTACTCCTCCTTCCAGTCCATCCCCCACAGTTACTACCTTTTGTACCACTAGCCCCTCCCTCTTAGATTGTAAACTCCAAGGAGCAGGGCCCTCCTAACCCTCTTGTATTGAACTGTATTGTTGCTGTATTGTCTCCTGTTATATTGTAAAGCGCTGAGCAAACTGTTGGCGCTATATAAATTCTGTATAATAATAATAATGTGTAAAGAGCACTCTTAGGGGAAGTACTCTTAAGGACTGCAGTTACATTGGCATGACATTGCATGACCAGAAGGTGACAACTTGCTGGACACAAGCATGTACAAGATCATGTATCTAAATACAAGACAAGAGTTCTGGTGTTTTAGAAAAAAAAAAATGCATGGCAAACAACAGAAACAGACTAGTTGTTCAAAATATTGAGTGAGAGAAAATGAAACCGATGGCTGTGGACAACTGCCACACTTCTATAAAGGCATTCAATTACTTTCAAGAAAGGGTAACAAAGTGCAAAGCATACACAGGGCATCAACAGAAGCCTCACTACCCTTTACAACAAAACATTACGTTTAACTTACAGTATTATACAGCTCTTCCAATCTGGGGATTGTAAGAAACTTGTGCATGCTGACACCGTTTTCTATGAGAAGTTTGACAAAGGCAACCCTATCCATTACAAGCGCATCCAGCATGGCTTGTTCCAAAGAACCAACCTGAGGAAACATTTTATAAACCAGTTAAAGATATAGAGCCCATAAACATATTACATTACCTAAAGAAATTCCTAAATGGCACAAAATAAATAAAGGCGGCCATACGTGGATTGAAATTCAGCCAGTTCAGCAGGGACCAGCCAAATTCCTATCCATGTACCGGCACTACAGCTGTACAGAAGTCAACCTACTGATTGATTTTTTTTGTACAACCACACTGTCAGATTCTAACTGCCCGATGAGTGCTGCAGGCTACAGAATGCAGCGCTGATCAGTTTAATCTGGAAGTAGGGAAATCTACCCACTGTCAGAACGACACAGCGGGGAGGATTCCCTCATCCACCTTGAATGTGGGAATGGGAAAATCGGGTCGGTTTTTTTCTTTCAACCAGCTGCTTGAACAAAAAGAAAAAAAAAAAAAACATCTACGGGCTGCTTAACTCACACACAAAAGAATGACGGCAGACTATTTCATATTATTAATTGATTGATAGTCAAGGACAGTACAAATCAAAAAAAAGGCAACAATTAAAACACTGCAAAAAACAGGATTTTTGTACTCATGGTAAAATCCTTTCCTTGAAGTCCATTGAGGGCAACAGAAATTCAGATATTGTCATGTTACACTGCCGACAACAAGCATACTGGAAACTAGCAAACAAAAACACTGTAGGCAACCCCCAGGATAACACCTCTGACACCCAGTATTCCCTGTGATAACTTCAGTGATAGAGAAGGAAAGGCTTCCCCACTGTTAGGACTGGGGTGGCGATCACATCAAGATAGGGAAATCCTTGCTTGGCTGAATAGGAACATACATAAATGGAGAGAAGGTGCCTGCTTTTTCCAGGTGGATAAAATGTTGAGTTGCAGAGTTCTTGAATGAAATTGGGCAAATGTAACTCCCCTAAAGGAGGCTACCACGAGACCTAGAACTATCTTGGAGAATCTCAGATAGGCATCCTGGATGTCCACAGATTCCATGCATTTCCCTTGTCATCTAGGAAATAATCATAGTTCTTGCAGATTCCATTCGAAATTTTGAAATTTAAAAGGAATCTGTTGAGGGATTTTAAGTCCAGAATAGAACAAATACACCTCCCCCCTTGTTGGGTTTTGGAACCATAACAGTTTTCAGTAGAATCCTCTCAATCATTCTTTTGGTGGTACTGGCACGACAACTCCCTAGGACATGAGATGGTTAGGGGCATTCAGAAAATCTGTCTTTGGGCAATTATTGGTGGATTTCAAAAGAAAAAAAAAGCTGTGAGGGGGTAGAATGTGAAATCTATTTTGTACCCACAGATCTAGGACATCTGTGACCCAGTAAGAGGCAAACTGTAACAGATGTCCCCAAATTTTTTGGAGTGAGGGCACCCCTTCATTGTGAAGAGGGCTTTGGGGAAGACTTGGTAGCCTTTGTGGGCCAAGTCTTGCACTGAAAGGAAGGGCTAAACTTTGGTTTGAAGTTAAAGCCTGGTTACAGTGGATAGGTGGCTCTGCATTTAAAGGAGTTGGGGGCTTTATTTGGGGATCAAAATGCCATTTAGCAAGTAAGAGAAGACTTTCTGTGCCAAAAGCTGCTGGGTTTAACACAATTGACAAAATTGACAAAATACTGCTAAGCCGCACAGTTGGCCAAACTGGAACTATGCCACATGTGACAAGGGATGCCTCAGTGGGTCCAAATGGAGGCTCTGACTACCCATAGGAGATACAGACAGACAGCTTACACTGACAGACTGTAGGAGCCCTGCACTACACACACACAATCTTCTGATTGCAGGTGCAATGCTTTACAGGCTCCTGCAAATAAATAAATGCAAATGTGTTTACTTGCGAAAAAAAAAAATGTGCATGTATTTTTTTTTAAAGGTGAATTTGACCTTTAATAGAAGCAAACTATAAAATAACACTTACAGTAGCTGGTGCCTAGTCCCTACAAAAATTGTTAAAAATTTTAGGGTGCTCAGTCGAGGGAACCATGTCTCACATATGGCATCTGTGTGTCTGAAAGCTCAGAGGTTTTGGAATAGGGGTCATGCCCAAATCTACAACATAACTTTGAGTAATCTCAAAAAATCCCCTGAAGAGGCCCTGTTGGAGATCACTCCCCTTAACATCCCAAGGGATGAAGAAAATTATTGATGTACATGTTCTGGATTGCTACAATAGCTGCAGAGCTGGCAAAAATGAGTGACTTAATCAAGAACAAGTTTAACTGAACCAAAGTACATGACAGGTTGTCTAGCATTCTGAATAACTCAGACCAAATCTGAAGCTGTCTGGGACCAATGGATTTGTTACATCTCAGCTTCATGACCTGAGCAAAGTTCCTGAACCCCTATTCCTTCCAATCCCCCTCTACCTTCTTTCCATATATTGTTTGTCGAAGTTGATATCAATATGATTTTGCATCATATATCACTATGGAAGAGACATTTGACTTTATGTACAGAGGCCAAAGAAATTGGTTTTGTGGTCTCCTATATGCTTTTGTAAAACAGTACATGAATGTTCTTCATAGTAATGAAAAGACATTCCGTAAATGCGATTTTTGCAAACCTTAATAACAATATTGCAAAAGAACTGATCCCATGGAGTAAAACAGCATCCACTGTAAGAGGATCCCTGGACCTTGAGAAAAAATGCTCAGTCTGATGTTGAACCTGGAAGCCAAAGAGCCATGTTTGGAGTCTTCCACTTGCAAAAGAGATCTTGAAACATCTTAAAGGTGAAGACACCAAGCTCTGGAATCCAGGCGCTGATAAAGGACAATTTTCTATACCTGGGATGTGCACAACAGAAAGGGCTGGAACATATTGTTCTGCCCAAGAGAGAATTCAATCTGCTTCTCTTCGACATACAAGATGTCTGGTGGTTCTCTGGTGGTTTCTGTAAGCCACTGCCATGGCACTGTCTGAGTAAATCCTAGTCCAGTGTTGACGGAATAACCAAACTTCTCTGAGTTCTAGATTACTGATCAGGAAATGTGCTTTCTCTGGCAACTGTGTTCCTTGCACCAAGAGAGCATCAAGTATATTTCTGATGCCAAACAGAAAGCCATTTGTCTTGAGAACCTTCCAAACAATTTGGAGGAAAGATTTTCACTGACTTCAACTCTGAAACAATCAGGAAGACTAAGCTTGCCTGTCCCACATATAAAATTGCCTTGAAGAATGCCAACATTAAGCCCAGAACCCTTAATCAAAAGTGAAATGTCTGCTGGATCTTGGACTGTAGAATACGAACATAGAAGCAGAGAGTCCAGAGTTTGTCCTGTGGAAGAAAACTCTTGGATAGGGCCATATTCAGGACCAAGCCTAGGTACTCCAAGTGCTGAGTCAATTCCAGTGTCAGCTTCTGAGGATTTAAGTACCACCTGAACCTCTGTGTGGTCTGGATCATCCACATGACCCAGGCTGCTTGTGCCAACACATCTCTCAGAAGTAGGTCACCCAGATATCCCACTATGAGGATGCCCTGAAAAGGGAAGCAGAGTAAGGACCTAGCACCTTAGTTAAGACCTGATTTGCAGTGGACAGACCAAAGTGAAGGCTAACAAATTGGTAATGCTGCATGCCCACTATAAAATGAAGTTTCCCAACTTTTGCCTTCTTTATCAAGGAAATTACTGGGGAGACGAGTACCTTTTTGCCCCAGAAAAAGTTCCCCATCAAAAGGGCATACGCAATAGGTGTATCTTGCATGGATGATCCACAGACAACATTTGAGCCACAGGGTCCTCAACATGTGTACCAAAGAGAGGCCCATTCTGGTATTTGGCATACAACATCCACTAGCCTGTCAACACAATGCAGCAGGGCCACAGGCAGCAGTACCAGTTTTTGCAAGACAGATGGATTTGTTCAGATTAATACAGGATCCCAAGAAATATCCAGCATTGGCGGGAAACTGAATAGCGCCCAAAAGGTGCCAAATGCAAGGTAGCTCCCAGTGCTTCAGCCTGACCAGGCTTCCAAAATGACTCTTCAGAAACGGCCACATCTTGGGCTATGCCACAGCTCTGCACATGGAGAGTGCTCTGCAGCACACTCATGTCTGGAAATCACAATGCAGAACTCAAGGAATGAAAGAAATCCATGAAAAAGTTAAAGCCCCTCATGAACCAAACACATTTCGATCCATGTGCTTTATTCTGGGCTGATCTGCTATTTTTCTTTTGTTACTAGTGTTCAATCCTACTACAGGCAGCAGTATAATGCAACAGGATCTGTATTTCTTTGCTACTCAATGGTAGAAAAATGAATATATTTATTGTTTGTTCTAAAGCTACATACACACTCCTTTAGCAAGCACTTTCATCTCCATCTAGAAGGGGAAGGGATGGGGACATGCACTGCTTCACATCTCAACCACCAGCCTACCATAGTGCAGTGTCAATATCATGGATGCCTATCCTGAATGTAGCCAGCTCTACAGAATCAATGTCTGGGATATGTTCCCAGAATGCATAGAATGTAGTCTGCACAGCCAGCTGAGTTCAGAGAACACAGTGATATCCACACAGCAAAACTGGTGAAACAAAGAAAACACAGCCACCCTCAAAGAGAGAAGGATGCATTTTCTCAACCCACCGTGCAAATAGACCTTAAAAGACTGTTAATATCTTCTCAAGCTGAAACAATTAAACATTGTTTATATGTATAAAGCCATTCCTACCAGCCACTGTTGTCCATAGACAAAAACATGATTTTTAGCGATGTCTACTCTATCCCATGCTAACGTTAATACCAGTTGATCTAAAGCAGAAGCATTTGTTCCTAAAAAGAAAAAAAAAAAAAAAAGCATGTTAGTACCAAAAACAAACATATTTGGGTATTCTGACAAGGTCCATGTGTAATCTCACATCCACACACCATGCATTTTCAAAAAGCTAAGAATGTATATAATTAAACCATATTTGGTTTTGTATGTGTAAGCGATACTCTGGAAGATGCTTAGTAAACTATATTTCAATTTAAAAATGTGCAGTAAACTAAGAAAAATACAGAGCGATAAATCAAATTCCACCAAACCAATCAGGGTTTCCTATATATTTCTGCCTTTACAGTCATACTTCAGATAAGACATGGCAGAAAGTACATCTTAACAAAGATATACAAATTTTACTTCTCGTGCGGGAAAAGGTGAGAGGTCTGTCAAGCTATGCCAGTCCTTCAACATTAAAGAAATGACAATTACCTTTTAACAACGCAGTGAGTATTGCAACATCAATGTCCTGGTGTTCATCTGATCCAATGTGGAACACAGTAATCTGTTTAAATTAAGATAAACCAGGTTTTTAATAATGTTCATTTTTATCTTTTGAGGACAACTAAAATGAAAGTTAAATCCTAAAAGGTGCCTAGATGTAAATAATTAAAAAAGTCATAATATTAGGTGTTAAGGGCCCTTTCAAATAAGGTTTCCAATGATGTCTGCTAAAGCCTGCTGATGTCACAGAGCCAGTCCAGGCACTGCAGGGATCCCGACAATAATGTCAAGATTTGCTCAGATGTCTGACCGGCAGCTGGCTCAGCCTTTCAGGGCACCTGTGTGAGCCTGAGCTAGCCCATCCCGCCCCCCTGCACAGTCGAGCACTCCAGTGAGCATTGGAGAGGAAGAGCACAGAGTGGTGACTGACCGTCACCGCTCTGTGCTTAGCACAGACCTGAGAACTGAACAATCAGCAATCACTAAGTTCTCAGTGTGCGGACAGATGTAGCATCAAAATGATGCTGAATCTACATAGATGAGTATGATTATGTTTTTCGAAACCCACATTTCTCTTTTAAAACTTTGGGGCTGAAGAAGACATTTCTTTGCTGCTGCCATTTTCATTTGTCAAAACAAATTATTTCTCCTCTTAAAGTTCATTTACTTTGGCCTGGAATTCTCTTGAAAGACCAGCCTTGAAAATAAGAGAACCATCCAGACAGCCCTTCTGACACAATCAGACAATGCAACTTTAACAGGAACCCTAATACATTCTACACAGGCATTGAAGAGAGAATTTCATCAGCTTCATTCAGGATGGATAACTTTTCTACGGATGATACCTCTGTGGCAACCGGAGTATACAAGGCTTAGCAACAGAAGCTGAATAAATAGTAGAGTAAAACAGGGCACAGATTGCTTCCCATCTCTCTTGGCATCTTTTTTTATAAAGCTGTCAACTTTGCAACCAAATTCCTAAGTTATCCCATATCATTAAAAGGTAGGTCACCTTTAGAACCACATTTCTTGGCCCATTTAGGTGAACGAAAATGTAACTTAGTACAATTGTCCTACAACTCAGACGAAGGTTAAATGGCATACATAAATGGCAAACTTATTTTCTTAGATGTGGGAAACCTTTCTTGTCTTGTCTGTTCTTTAAATTAACATTTGAAGGCATTCCTCCACAGGAAAATATTTTTTTTAAGTAGGATCATCCAGACCCTTATAGTATATAGCAGTTCGAGCAATAGTAGGGTTCACAATATTCATGGCTGCCCTGACCACATCTGAAAGCTGCAGGAGACTGAACACATGTTGGGTACTCTTCTGAATATCCAATTGAAGCCCTTTCCAAGATGGCACATCTATAGCCCATGCCTGGGAAGTAACAAGAAAAAGATTAGGTAGGTGTGGAGGCGTATCTAACCTTTCCAACCTCCTACCCCACTTGGGAAGGGAAGAAACACCCACCAGCTGATGAGCTTTTAAATATGAGCTGGAAATGCAAGTTTCTTAATTTTTACATTCACTCACTAGATATTGGGAGATATTTTTACTTAGCTAAATCAATACTACAAAGTGCAAAGTATGCTGCTAAATGCTATACGGCCTAAAATGAAGAGCAATTGAAAATGGAGAGAAAAAACCTGCTGGCAGGTGTAACATGTAGAAATCTAGAAGGACATGCACATACAATTAGCACCTCTTATTGTCCTCTACTGCAGCCTCAAAACTGGTAAAACTTCTGGTAGTGATGGAGCTCACCCAACTCTTGTGATCTATTGATCAAAGAGATTTGTCACAGAGATAGCCCAGTAGGGTGATAAGCCAATGTGAATGTAGGGGAAAGGCAGGGAGCAGGCTAGCTCATACTATCAAGTCTCCTGAGTTTTTTTAACCATTCACAACAGCTAGCCCATCACCCTTTACACACATAGCTAAAATATGTCACCTCCATCTAACAATGCTCCGGAAAAAAAACAACACCCACTAGATGTTTTTTAACCACTTGCCTACCAGGCACTTTTCCCCTCTTCCTGCCCAGGCTAAATTTTCAGCTTTCAGCACTGTTGCAATTTGAATGACGATTGCACAGTCATGCAACATTGTACCCATATGAAATTGTTATAATTTTTTTCACATAAATAGAGCTTTCTTTTGGTGGTAATTGCCACTGGGCGTTATATTTTTTGCACTATAAACAAAAAAAAAGGAGGAAAAATTTGAAAAAAAAAAAAGTTTTTCTTTGTTTCTATTATAAATTTTTGCAAGCAAGTACATTTTCTCCTTCACTGATATGCGTTGATGAGGCTGCACTAATAGGCAGCACTAACGGGCTGCACTGGTGGGAATTGATGAGGAGGCACTGATGACTCTGCACTGATAGGCTTTACTGACTGGCAGCACCGAAGGGCACTGATGGGTAACACTGAAGGGCGCCACTGCTGGGCATGTTTGGGGCTGCACTGATAATCAGGGTACTGATAATCAGTGCCCTGATTATCAGTGCATATGTCCTCTGTGACACTTGACGGTTATCGGCAGTACTTTCCTCACACTATGACAGCGTGAGGAAAGTGCTGCCGATAACCGGCAACTATATTTCCTTAGTGATCAGCTGTGTCATTGGACACAGCTGATCACGTGGTAAAAGGCCACTGTGATTGGCCTTTTACCTTGTCATGTGATCAGCTTTGACTGAAGGACACAGCAATCACAGACAGCACCAGGTGCACACCGCTGGGGGCGCGTTCTGGGAGGACGTCATATGACGCCCTCCCAGAACTGGACAAAAACCACGCTGTAGCCGTCATTTGACTATAGCTCGGTTGTCAAGTGGTTACTATTTAGGTAACCATTTGCAGTTCATACCAATTCCTTGCTCTTCATGCACTCCATTACAATCTGGAAAAGGTGGACGGCTTCAGACTGGCTAAAGTTAAATGTCTTTTTGATAGTTGAAATGATCTCTGGCTCAGCACCTTCTGGCAGAGTCCTATAAGTAAACATTAAAAAATTTAAATCATGATGGGAGTTTAAATATATTTAAAAGCAAACATTTTAGTTACCCCTTTCACTTAAAGAACACATTCATTGTCATATGTAGCCATTCTAGCATTGTAAAATATACGCACCCTCCTTCTTCAGTTTGTTTATGTACATAAGCCAATATGTCAGCAGCTCTTCCAGTTCCTTCACAAACAACAACTGGTACAGGAGGACTCTCTTGTAGGTAATTCAAAACCGTAAGAATCACATTTGGACCACCTTCAAATATCAAGGCTACTACAGGTACTCCCTGGCCAATGCCTAAAAAGAAATAGGAAAACATGTAAAGTGTGCTCCATTACAGACTCTAAAAATGTGATACCACAAGATATTGAAAATATACAAGACTCATTTATATTACGAACATACGGGCATGGATGCGTTGTAAGTTGATTGTTTTTTCTAGTTCCCTTCTTAAACTCTCTTCCGCTCCATATTTTCCAACAGTACCATCATCCACCAAAATAAAATGGGAATGAAGATTATTGAGGACATTCAGTTTACTCAGAGGGTTCAACAGGGTTTGATAAGGAGCGATGACCTAAACAGGGAATCAAAAAACATACATTTTTGACACTAGAGACTTTAAATGATCCATTTTTTTTTTTTAATTGAAAACAATATTTACTTACATCTTTTCCAACCAAGTCATTTCGGTTTTCAATGATTCCCCATGGAGCAATGCCAATGGTACAAATTTTTCGAGATGACCTTGAAGCGTGTTCTTTGAGAGCATCACCAACATGTTTAGCAACACCTATTTACATATATATAATAAAATAAAACAACATAAGGTATTGTGTTCTGTTAGGTGTTCCTGGCAAATAAACGTCTCATTCTAGGTCTAAAACAAATCTCTGGCAAAAAAAATTGTTTTATCTTCCATCATAGTCAGCTAGGCACGAAGCACTGTCACACGTATTCTCCCATCAGCATACCTCTCATTAAAATTTACACAGCTATGACACTACACTAGTAATCAGCGACTGTCATAGTGTGGTGGGCTAACTGACACTAATAGAGTGATCAGTGATAATACTGTATACTGTCACTGTACTAATGAAAGGGAAGGGGTAACATCTAGGGACAATCAAAGGGTTAACTGTGTGTCTGACAAAGTGTAATGTGTGTTATAGATTGTAAGCTCTGAGGAGCAGGGCCCTCTTATCCCTCTTGTATTGAACTGTATTGTTGCTGTATTGTCTCCGGTTATATTGTGAAGCGCTGAGAAAAATGTTGGCGCTATATAAATCCTGTATAATAATAATATGTGCAGTTTTTATCTTACTGTATGGGTGTTAATTCTCCCTGCTTTGCAGGGAGCATAAACAGCCAGATCTCTCTTCCCTTTACACAGCTCTTTGTTTTGTAAACAGCTGATAAACTCGTGCTGTGTCCAATCATAGTACGGGTCAGCCAGGGGCACGTGCATGTGCACCTCAAACACGGGTGACAAGTTGTGACGTACCACTATGTCACCCAGCTTGGAGCTGCTGCCTGATTGCAGTACAACTACTGTGGGCAGGTGCAAAGCAGTTAAGTAATGTTATACGACTACTCAGTAACTTGAAATTTCTTTTTCCCTCTAGAATGTCTTCATAATAAATGGTACTGCTGACCTCCACCTCTCCTGCTGCGTAATGATAACTTTCCCTAGCAGTCATCAGTTCTATCAAGATTTTTGGTTTTATCATATCACTAGGTTCTAAGAAGCCATGCTACTTAAGCATGCAGCTATGATCATGGGATTTTTTTTACCTGTCTAGAACATACCACCACCTAACAATGGTACACAAAGGCAAAAAATGATAAAAATCATTACATCAGCCTTTAAATTGTCTTTACCAGCATTAACTCCTCCAGTAACAATCCAGGCTCCTGTTGTTAAAGCTGCTTTGATGAGACCTTTGCCAATTAGTTGCTTTACACGCGGATGAAGCTCAAACTTCTGATTTCCTCCATGTACAGAGATAACGAGTTTTGGCAATTCCATCTGCCATTCTTTTAGCATAAGCTGCAAAATGGTTTCTGGTCTGGAATCATATGACAACCTAACATACTAAAACAAAATATCAGAAAAAAATTGTCAGTACAGATATTGTAAAAATTTTGTAAATCACCAAACTTTGCTTGCTGCTCTACAGCCTGAGGTGGTTCTAGCACTACAGGCAAATTTACAAACCCTGACTTTGGATGGACAGTCATAGTCACCACTCCAGCTGTCTCCTTCCTTTTCTCAAAACCATCAGATTACTCTTGCTCTATCTCTTACTGTCTGCAGAAGCAGAAAACATTCTTTAGCACATCTGTAACTATTCATCTCTCTTCACTACCTCTCACATACATTGTGGGCTGTCCTGCGGAAGCAGGATATAGCTGCCCCAAGGGATCAGTAACAATCGCACAGAAGTGGGAAAAAAGGTATGTCTGCAGAGGTTCAAAATTGAATTTTGGCAAGAGACAGGCTATATATTGCTTTATGGGACTGACAACTTAAAGCGGTGATCCACCTAGAAAAAAAAAAAAAATAAAAGTCAGCAGCTACAAAAACTGTAGCTGCTGACTTTTAAAATACAGCCACTTACCTGTCCCTCGGTCTAGCGGTGTCCTCACCACCGCTGGTTTCACCTGGCCATCTTCTCTCCCTGGCGCCAGCATCTTCAGTGTGGGCACCTGGCTGTAACAGTTTGCGGCTTACAGGGGACAAAGGCTTAAAGCGGAACTTCCCCTTTTGGTGGAGCTCCTCTTTAATGACTAACCCACGTGACTACCATCAAAACAATACTAAATTGCAGGGCAGAAAACATTCATAAACAGATGCTGGGTCTCGTCACTATTAATGGGAGGGACATCAATCATTGCTGATCTTCTTTTCATGGGTCCCCTATATAAATAGCGTGATGACAAACGTGCACTCTGAACCCCTGAAGATGTCACCTTTGTCAAAATGTATGTCGGGAAGAGCTAGGGTGTACATCACCACACATGCATGCAGGCCAGCGGCCATTTTTGATGTGGGCATATACCGAGATTTCAGAATACAACGCGGTTTTTAACTTCTGGGTCCTGTATGTGCAATTTTAATAAATTCGATTCTTAATCTTCGGTATTTACACTATGGAGAGCGTGCTTACTCTTTGCATGTCTGGTTGGAACCTATTGCGAGTCTGAGACTGATGCTGGAGAGCGAGCGGGTTACCCATTGTAATAAACCTGGATGGTTACAGTTGGAGAGCGAGGGGGTGACGTATCATGGCCAGCCTGGAGGGTTGCAGCAGCCAGAGGGATATTCAACATCATGCTGTTTTTGACCGCTCTATAATTTGAGGGTCAAGCTAATCTGGTGAGCTCCCACTGAGCACCGTGTGTAGTGCAGCACCTGCATGAATAAGAGTTACCATCACTTATTGCTGACATTTGAAAAGAATATTGGAGCTGGTATTTTTTTTCTTTTACGTGGATCTGGGACTTCTTTTGTATGAACTTCTTTACGTAGGCTTATTTTCACTTTTTAAATGATGTTGATGTTTTTTGATGTGACATGTCTGTATTGAAGAGAATATCTGGTTTTGTACTTGCATGCAAAAAGTTTCTTTTTCCTGTTTTTTTTATATTCACATATTTATATTAGCATGGGATATACTATAAATATGGCATAGAAGTGTTTTTTTATCAACTGCACTATTTGAGAATGGGTCTCTTGTTGTCACTTGCATCTCCTCCTCTTCTAATCTGTACAATGTCCTTAAAATAATCCATTTTAGTAGTTACAAAGTTCAACTGATAAAAACAGATAAGAGACTGTTCTATCCAAAAGGGATTCATCCCCATGTAGTGCACATTATCAAAAAGGGGTGGAAAACCAGATAATTTATTGTCTGATATTCAACAATAGGAAGTGGGGACCAGAACTCTACTTCTTCTTTGGGTATTATTTGCCCCACAGTACTGCACCCAGGTACCTTGGCTCTGTAGGAATGAGATCCACCTTGAAAACTGATAACACCGTATGCATCTGTTGGGCTCTCTTCTGTGTGTTTCTCGACAGACCATACTTCTTGCTCTCCTGTGAAATTTTCACCTAGTTTCAGATCGGAGTACTTCATAGCAATGCTGGCTGTGAAGCAAGCATGCTGTCTGACAAGTCGGCCGCAGCAGCATCTATAGGATGATGAAAAGGCAACGTGTTTTTATGTTTCACATGTCACAAAACAACAAAAATGCTTTAAAAGGTAGATTTCACCTTATTTAGACAATTAAGTATACATCTACAGGATTTACCCAAAAAGGGTAAATACTATATAGGATTATACAGCAGGTTTTATGTCAATGAGAAAGACTGACAATATTGGGTGTACTTTGTTCAGAGAAGGAACAAAAAAAAAACCAAATAAAAACAAAAAAAAGTGCAGATAAAGGAACAAGTTAAAAAAAAAAAAAAACACTGATTAGTAAGGAGTACTAACCTTACAAGTTGCTGGCATATCTGGCATCCTGGAAGGCATCTGTAAAAAAATCAAAACAATGATTTTTTACAGAAATGTTCCTGTTAGTTGTAAGATTATGCATACTATACATATACGTACTATTCATCCATCTTTTAGGATACACAATAAATGGATACCAATATGTTTTTTGATTCAGATATGCACATCATATAATTACAGTGAAGTGTACTGTACAAAAATTAATTCTTCTTGATTCAAGGATACAGTTTTAAACTTTTGCTAAAAATTTGTACTGGCCTGATATGGAATCTAAAGCATCAAACACATTTTTTGGCACATTCCGGTGCATTGTTGATGTGTTCTGGTGTGTTTTACCATGTTCCAGTACAGTTCTGTGCAGGGAAAATGCAGCCTGTTCTACTTTTTTTTTTCTGCAACTGGAACTACAAGCACTGGTGTGAACTACGACACCGACAACCATATTAGGGTCCATGTACAGTAGATGGCTGAAAAATGGCATACAAACTGCTCATAATGGCTCACTGCACATGCGTTTATGTAAGTTGTGTATATAAACTTTTTTTTCCCAAAAAAAACATTCCCTTCTGCACATTTTTCACTATCATCAATTTACACTTGAAATCACTGAACAAGGCTAAACACTGCATTTACGTGCATCAAATATTTTTTCCTGTAGAAATAGGAAGAGATAGCCCGAATGCTGCACACCTCACCCTGCCCGAGTGGTTAGCAGATAAAAGCAGCCTCAGCTTGATTCATCCAAGCTATGCCCCCAACATGTTTCGCTCAGCTCCCGAGGCTTAATCATGGACCTCCGCTAGGCAGACCTTGTTAGCCTAAGGGGGCAACTAAGCATCTATCGTGGGTCAAAAGCATTTTTTTCTGCCTGAACCCTTCTCTCAAAAACGCGCTTGTGATGTTTTTTTCAGCCTGCAAACACTCTTCTTCAAATAAGCCTGTAAACACCAAAATGAGCATTGACATGTAAGCTAACAGAGTTGGTTCTACAGGCCCAGTGTGCTCAAGGCCCTGATAGCTTGAGTAGCAAGGGTCACCTGAACCAAAGAATTACAATGATCACTGCAGCAGGCAATAGCCACCGGCGTTGATGGCACAAAAAAAAAATAATCGACAGGCTAGTTGTACTGAAATTGATCGATAGATGGACTTCAGTGCAACTAGCCTACCCATAGACAAGTCGAAATTCAGCCAGTTCCAGCTGAACTGGCCAAATTTCGATTAGTCTATGGCTGGCCTAGGTCACAACAGGTATGTAGATTAGTAAAATCAGAGAAAAGCTAGCTTCTTTATGCATACCTGTTCCAGGTCAGTGACCCAAATGACATGTGACCTTTAACAATTACTACTTGCTACTGTGTTGTAAACTAAGGCTCTAAAGCACATATCTGTTAAATCACCTCACAAGTAATTCAGTAACAGACATGTTAGATGGGAAGGTTAGATTTGACCCCATTTCACTAAATATAATGGAATTCTGTCACATTCCCACGTTTTTCCCTTTCCATAGACAACAGCACAGAACAAAAATTTGCCATACTAAAAATAAATCTTCAGCAAGTCTAAAAATAAAAGATTATGCTTTAAATGCTTGAGAACTTTTAACACCTTTTTAATTGCGTATTTGCAAGTTTTCCACTTTATCTGTATAACTGCCAATATGGTAAGGCCAAAAGCAAAATAAATTAATTTAAAAGGCTAATACACATCTACAAAAAAAGGGGGTAAAAACTAACATGTTCTCTTTGGTTCTCAGGGCTTTTACTATATGATCCTAATCAGGGGCAGACTGACAACTCATGGGGCCCCCGGGCAATAGGGGATCATGGGGCCCCTGTGTCCTTGCCCAAACTCAAAAAAGCCTATGAAAAAGGTACCAGGGGCATCTCATGGGGCCCCCTACTGACCCAGGGCCCTCGGGCAGTGCCCGAGTTTCTAAATGGTCAGTCCGCCCCTGATCCTAATAGCTATTGACACCAAAAATAATTTTTTAATCCAGTCATTTTTTAAACACTCTAGCTGCACATTTGCTTCTTTGCTTTTGCCATAATAATTTTTATTGAATATTGTAAGTGATAAGAAGAAGGAAAAACAAAACCATACCATAATCAGAGCATTGAACAACAATTAGACCAAGTCCCATAATCTACCTCAAGTAACTGGCTGACAACTGAGGGGGGAGGGACCAAAGGAAGTACAGTTAGCAACTCTAGCCATCCCTCGTAGAGAAAGAAAAAAAAAAAAAAGGAGGGGGCGGGGCAGCAACTTCCCTCTCTCCCTCCCCCAGCATAAAAACAGCGGATGAATAATGCAGCGGTCTCTCAAGTGTGCAATCAGGAATTCCACTATGACAGTATAGCACACTCCTTCTGGAGCAGTACGCCTCCATTGGTCAGAAAAGTGAAACAAAGCGATCAGGACACAAGGTCCTCTGAAGCTTTAAAATGTAGCCAGCATGCCCACGTTTTAGTGAAGGCCAAGATCCTGTCCTGAGATGTAAAAATGAGCTCCTCCATCTCCTCCAACTGTTCCAAGCAGGCAAGCCACTACCATATACTGGGTGGCTTAGTGTCTCTATTGTATTGCTGTAAAGGTAATTGCTTGATATAGTGTAGTGGGGAGAAATCCACGGCAGTCCGTCACTGGCGAAATAATGTCATGAACCTTGGTCCAAAACGCGGCAACGAGGAAGAAGACACACCAGACGTGGAAGAACGTGCCTTCCGCCATCAGACATCACCAGCATCGGTCCAAAGTCGCTGGATAGATCTTATGTAGTAGAGAGGGAACTCTATACCATCTAGATCTGATCTTGTAAGAGTTCTTATGAGTGTGAACATTCAGAGACCCTTTGTTACGAAGTTGGTCTGGCTAAAAAGACAAAAGTCCATCCAGTTCAACCATTAAAAAAAAAAAAAGTTATAATCCTACATCCACAGTTGATCCAGAGGAAGGCAATAAAAAACCCCCAGCAAAGCATGATCCAATTTGCTCCTGCAGGGAAAAAAATTCCTTCCTGACCCCCCGAGAGGCAATCGGATATTCCCTGGATCAACTTTGCCGCTAAATGTCAGTATACAGTTATATTCTGTGTATCTAAGAAACAATCCAGGCCTTTTTTAATGCAATCCACTGAGCTGGCCAAAACAAGCTCCTGAGGGAGTCTATTCCACATTTTGCCAGCTCTCACTGTGAAGAAACCTGTGTTTGGAGATTACATTTCTTTTCCTCCAGAAGTAAAGAGTGCCCCCTTGTCCTCTGTGATGACCTCAGGGTGAATAACTCTACACCGAGTTCACTATATGAACCACTGATGTATTTCTACATGTTGATCTTATCCCCCCTTAATCTCCTCTTCTCAAGAGAGAATAAGTTCAGTTCCTCTAATTTTTCCTCATAGCTGAGCTCCTCCATGCCTCTTATCAGTTTGGTTGCCCTTCTTTGTACTTTCTCCAGTTCCCCAATGTTCTTTTTGTGAATTGGTGCCCAAAACTGAACTGCATATTCCAGATGAGGTATTACTAATGATTTGTACAGGGGTAAAATTATCTCTCTCTCTCTCTCTCTCTCTCTCTCTCTCTCTGGATGGAGTCTATACCACTTTTAATACAAGAGAGGATTTTGCTCCCTTTAGAAACCGCAGCTTGGCATTGCATGCCATTATTAAGCTTGTGATCTACCAGAACTCCCAGATCCTTCTCCACCATTGATTCCCCCAGTTGTACCCCCCCCCCCCCCCCCCAGTATGTATGATGCATGCATATTCTTAGCCCCCAAGTGCATAGCCTTATATTCATCAACATTAAACCTCATTTGCCACATAGTTGCCCAATTAAACAGTGCATTGAGGTCGGCTTGTAAATTGAAGACATCCTGTAAGGACGTTATTCCACTGCACAGTTTGGTGTCATCTGCAAAGACTGAAATTGGATTTTTTATCCCAGACCCTGTATCATTTATAAATATATTAAAAAGTAAGGATCCCAACACTGAACCTTGGGGTACACCATTGATGACCCCAGACCATTCAGAGTATGAATCATTAACCACTACTCTTTGAATACAATCTTTTAGCCAATTTTCTATCCATTTACATACAGATTTTTCCAAGCCCGTAGACTTTACCTTACACATTAGCCATGTGTGGGGAACTGTGTCATACGCTTTTGCAAAATCCAAGTACACCACGTCCACCGCCACCCCTCTGTCCAAGGTTTTGCTCACCTCCTCATAAAAAGAAATCAGATTTGTTTGGCAACTTCTGTCTTTCATGAATCCATGCTGTCTGTTGCTTAAAATCTTTTTTTCCCAGCAAGAACTGATATATGTGGTCTTTTATTAATCTCTCCAGTATCTTCCCAACTATAGATGTTAAACTAACAGGTCTATAATTACTTTGTAAAGATTTTGACCCTTTTTAAATATTGGCACCACATTGGCCTTAAGCCAATCCAGTGCTACTATGCCAGTCATTAAAGAGTCCCTAAAAATGAGAAACAATGGCTTTGAAATGACAGAGCTCAATTGTTTAAGGACCCGTGGGTGTATGCCATCCGGTCCAGGTGCTTTATTCACCTTTATTCTGTCTAAATATTTTTGGATCATATCAGTTGTGAGCCAATGTGGATCATCTGGGGCTGTGTCAATACCATGCCCATTATGGACAAGAGCTCCCCCATGCTACTTTGTATACACAGCTGAAGAAGGCATTTAATAAATTTGCCTTCACTTTGTCCCCAGTTTGTGGGCAAGCAAGTTAATTTGCTCCCAGTCTTCCTCATCTAGCCAAGTATCCAAGTCCTTTTCCAATTCAGTGCAAGTCTGAGTTAGAGGGCAGAGCAAAAAAAAACAGAATATAGGTCAGAAATCAGATGCCTTTGGGGCTCGGATCTCACACAGATCGCTTCCAAAGGAGTCTGGTCTCTACAGTACATCTGCTTAAATTCAGCATTGGAAAGAAAATGTCTAATTTGCAAATACATCCAGAATGGAACATTCGACTGTGGGACCAGGTTTGG